AGAAAGAAAGAAAGAAAGAAAGAAAGAAAGAAAGAAAGAAAGAAAGATCCTTAGCTCTTTAGAACCACGTGTAGATTAAACCTAAGCAACAGATGTGATCCTTCTGTAGAAGACACAGTTTTCTGGATTCTGAACAGTATGTTATATACCTTATTGATAACATCATGCACATTACTGCTGAGTAAAACGGGAATGAGCCTGTACCTACTAAACCCAATCTACTACCCAGTCCATGCCTGCTATGCTTTGCTTGACTTAGTCTAGTCCCCCTCCATTTATTTATGTGCTGGATGCATGAAACCGATTAACACATTTGTGTCAGCTTATCATTGATAGCACAATGTCGCCGTGTCTCAAACCCAGGGCTCTCTTTGTAGATTTGTCTTATGGGAAGCCAGCCTGGTTGAGGTAAATGATGAATCGCTCTGTCAAACTGTTGAGTAACTGTCTCCCCTCATCATTCACGATGCTGCCGGAATCCAGAATGAAGAGCGGAGCCAGCAAGGCCTGGGGGAACAACCAGGACGGTGTGGTGGCCAGCCAGCCTGCCCGTGTGGTTGATGAGCGTGAACAGATGGCCATCAGTGGAGGTTTCATTCGCAGGTAAGGTAATATTAGATCGTGACACAGATTGGTAAAAGAGGCGTACGCATGTTCACCAGAATGATGAAGCTAAAAATGTGTTGAAGTTGAAGACAATTTGGATTGAAGGACAACATGTACTCTAGATTTCAACCAACTAAACCCAAAACTAAAAGTTATTTGTTTTAAATTAACAAACAGAGCATTTTAGACCCAAATTGACTTTATTTCCACTTAACCCAAATGTTTAAGATAGATTGGGGGGGGGGGGGTATTATGCTCCGTTACTTCAGTCCAACAGTAATGCTGTCATCAGATTTCTTGGTTAAGATCATACAACATATGAGGATGATGTTTATGATGTTTATGTATACATTTCTGTGGAGATTGGAGCATAAATCAATTGATCAGGAAATATGATTATTTCACAACTTTGTCTCCTCATTCATTAAATTTTAATGTTGTCACAAACCTCAATGATTACGCCTATGGTACAACCTGAAAAGTTGTTTTAATTATATTGAGATAGAGAAATGTCCAGTGCTTGATGGCTGACATCATCATTAACCTTTTAAAGACCAGAATCTCTATGGAGGCTTTGGTTTGGTTTCTGCTATCAGAACTGATTGAACAAACCCTGCTTTTGGGAAAACGTTCCCAGGAATGCAGCTAAGACTTGCATAGCTTAGTTGTTATTATGACATATCTGTCAGATGTTTACATTTAGCTATACATGCTCTATGTATTGCCCCGTGATACTATCTCAAGATGAATGTCAAAACTCATGAAGCTGAGTAGTGAACAGAGAAGCAAGAAAGTGTGGCTGAAGAGTCTTTTAAAGTCCATGTAAATACTCAGATTTCCCCGTGTTTTTTTTGGTGTTTTTTTTTTTTTGCCAGAGTGGACTTGCCTTTAGAGTATGTGCTATACAACTTCAAAGCTAAAATTTGGATACCGCATCAGCTGAAAGTTGTAAATCTATAAAAAAGCAAAAATGAAAGATCAACAGCACAGCAGAGATTTAGTTTAGTTGACTGCTCCATAATGCATTGGAAAAAATTATGGTAAATAAGGTTCATTGGAGCCTATATTTATTCTGGATTCTGGTGAGCAGAGGTAAATTGTACATAAAGACACATTTTGGTTGGATTCAGACAAAGCTTAGCGCCTGCTTTACATACAGGGACTCAGATCCTGCAGCAGTGGTGTATGCCATTATTAATGTGTGCTGAGAAAACTACGATTTATGCTAGTACAATACTTCAATCTTGCTACCCACTACATGTAAACTAGTTGTATTGAATTTGCAACTCTGAGATGATAATTACATGTTTTGCCTTAGCCCAAATACCACGTAAATTCAGCCTACAAGCAACCATAAGACAGAGAGGAAACAATCAGAGTTAATCGTCTTACTACTAGAACAATGTATTGAAATTGGGAGAATGTCAGTTAAAGAATATACTAATATTGATTTGGTACATTCACAAATGCACACGGGTATATTTTGAATGAAAAAACGTTACTTATAAGTAAAAACTGTATTTATAGAGATTATTATAGGACAGAATGATAGAATAGGGAAATCCTGCAGATTCCTACAAGAGTCAGTTTCCCAGTGTCAAAAGTCAGGGGGAAAGCCTGTTATAAGGATCATAGGTGAAATACATGTCATAACATTCCAGATGGTAGCAGCAAAATGTTGACCGCGTGTGGCACAATGTCAATGCTCCATTAATTTAAATGTAACCTTATTGTGTTTAGGGTAACAGACGATGCCCGGGAAAATGAGATGGACGAGAATCTGGAGCAGGTGGGCGGCATCATCGGCAACCTGCGCCACATGGCCCTGGACATGGGCAATGAGATCGACACCCAGAACAGGCAGATTGACAGGATCATGGAGAAGGTAGAGGCCTCTTACTCACCCTTTGCACTCTTTGTCAAAGACTAACATACCTTAGACATTCTTAAAGGTTAATTATTGCCAGTTTAAGATATACATTACATTTTTACAATACATTTTTAAATGATATTTTTATAAATACAAATACATATTTATATACATATAAATGTATATATTTATTCCAAAAGTATATAAAATATTACAATATTATATCAATATTATTTCTTTTATATAATCTGCACTAGTGGTGACTCAAGCTTTCATGTTTTAAATATAGTAAGGTAATGTGTTCACATATCCTCACAAAAATTAGGCCAATGTTGCTTTAATTAGGCTCAAAAGCGGTTTATGAAAACCAAGCATGTGCACATTATGCAATCATACAAAAAGATTTGGAGAAGGGAAGAATAGCTGTTGTCAAGTATTACACTAGTTAACAAGAAACTTCTCAATCAATAATCAGCTTTTGTGACAAAACACAGACAGCGACAGGTAACAACTGCTTACACTACTTTAATTATTATTAAGACAATAAGACAACAAAAAGTGATTAATCATCACTGTTGTGTAAATCTGTTTATGTGTAGCTATCCAGTTGTGCTTACTTGCATGTTTTTTACATTCACACCCTGGAGGAATGATGCAATTCTAGTGACTTCTATATCGTCTACAGAGATTTAAAAACCTCTGACATTCTTGCCCTTTTTACTCGAATTCCCTTAGGCCGATTCCAACAAGACCAGGATTGATGAAGCCAACCAGCGTGCCACAAAGATGCTGGGCAGTGGCTAAACACTCTGAGCCCAGAGCGTAATCTTCCTGGTGTCCTGCGCCACACATCAACAGGCGCTGACATGCTTTCATCATGGTATTGACCTTCTAGGTTTGCACACATGCACATATCACTCCCCTTCCCATTGTAAATGTTGTTCTGTGTGTCGTCTGTCCAGCTTTTTCAAGATGATTGTCCTCGTAAAAAGATGATTTCTTATACTCCGTATATCATTCTTTCCAAAGGTTGTATATAGTGCTGACTTGATGGATCTCTAGCTCACTTGTGTTTTTATTCTCTTTCTCAACATACCCATACACAAAAAAGCACATACACACACACATACATATACATACATGCATACATACATGCATACATACATACATACATACACACATACATACATACAGTACACTGCTCTGGATGACAAGTATATAATAGGAATGCTGAACAAGCTGTTTGTTTTGTTTTCCTTTTCAGTATCTCAGTATTGTCTTTGTAAAACTGTGTCATACCATTTAGGCTACTGTCATGCTCCTTATTTTGATGTTGTGACGACAAGAAAGAGAGAGAACGGATGGGGAAAAACCTCAGTAAACACTTACTGAGTGGTGGTACAGCTGAACGAGATTGCAAAGAGCACTTACAATCACTTACAAGGCGGTCGTTTAAACATTTTTCTTCATTGCAATCATACTGAGTTACTGTTTAGACAATGTGCAACTAGACTCTCTGTAGCTGTATTAGACATTGCATTCCAAGTGATGTGAATTGTGCGTTCTCTGCATGACAAATGGTAGATTTTAGTCTTATAAATAAAACTTGTCTGAAAAATATATATAAAAAATGATAACATGGCAGTAGCAAAATGACAAAACGCATGCTCAGTATTAGGACACAGTTGATCGTTCCATACTCCTGCAAGTTTGCAATAGTGCCACTCTTTCTGTCTCGATATATTTACCGACTGTGACCATCTCGTTGTACAATAATGCAAAAGGGATCAAAAAAGTGAGAAGGCTGAAAAAACACGAGGACCTGGGGTTGTATTGCAAAAAAACAAAACAAAAAAAAGAAAAAAATGACCTGTTTTCTAATGATTATGCAGTTCAGTGATGAAGATGTTGATTATGTGATGAAAGATGAGGACTGGTTGTGTTCTGTAACATAGGTTTTGGATGCTCTGAAAAAATAAATAAAAGTTTGCAATGTAAAGCAAAGATGCATATTTCTGAGAGACCTTACTTTTATAAGAAGACTGTATCTGTTAGTTTATTCCCCCCGTGTGGTTTGTTATTGGTAAAAATACTGATAGTATTGAATAACAATACCTATACCCTGAATCAAAAAATACAAACAAAAGGGGTTTTTGTTGCTTCTGTACTTTAGAGCTATGCACACCAAATCGCCAAAATGTTGAGTAGTTACAGTAAGGTGATTAAATACCTAAACCTGAATGACACAATAGGTTCAACTGTGAGATTGATGTCCTCAACGCATGTAATATTAAAGACTCCCTCTCTGTATCCTGTCAGTGTGTGAAGTGGTGGACATTTTGTAGCTAGCTGAATTGATTAAAAGTAATAAACCCTAGTTGCATCCGTGTCTGTCTTTATTACCTAGAGGCCTTTGTCTCTTAAATTCCAGGGTGGCATCTTGTATATTTGTATCTAGCACGTGATGTAGTAGACAGTCCACCAAATGTCCAGTAAAAGTCCAAGGATTACATAAATGATCATTATAAATACACTGACAGTCAACAATCTCTGAGAACATATACTCTAAACTAGTTGTGTGCGCCTTAAGCAGTAATTAGCCAAAAAATTAAGCAATCCTGACAGTTAACAAAACAATACTTGATATCTTCGGCAAATAAGTTTTTATACACTGTGAGATTAGGTTGCAGAAGCATTTAGGGTAACAAATATATAAAAATGTATATATTGATCCATATGGGTAATACATATTGTTATACAAGGTATTAGTTAGATCAAATATGTTGGATAAACTATGTACGGTACCCATGTTTGAGTAAGTGGAGGAGTTTGAGAATTATTCATCCCACCTGGTCTCTGGCTAAATATACTTTACATATGGATGTACATCTCAAATACTGTACACATATAACTTTCATAGCATAAAAAGTGTGTATTTTCCCAAAATTGTGAAACTATACAAGGAATCAAATGTTACATCAAATGTAAGACTGTAACGCAACCACATAGCTTTAAATCTTATACAAATGATTTTTTCTTGGCACAATGATATGGCATGAGAAGAAGATATACAACCTGGAACAGTACCATGTCTTAATTTGAAACTGTTCGAAAAAATGTTTGTCACTTTAGAAAAAATACTCAACAGTTATTGTATTACATTTATTTCAAGCACATAAAATAGCTTAAGCTAAATAGATTGACAAAAATTGAGCTACTTTATATAACCAGACACCTGACCTTTGGTAGAAGTGCCAAAACATTTTAACAGGAAAATCCCTCACTGTCACTCATTTTCAATCCTCTGTCAATTGATATCTTGTCATCTCCAGCTGTAAGGGTCTATCTAAGCTTTTTCGGGTGTGCTAATCTTCACAGTTGACACATGAACACCAGCATCTGCCACCACATGATGCCAGCTGATCCAAAACGACCTCCTTCAGTCTTGAAGATGGAGTCTTACAATGTAATAGTATCATGAATCTGGCCAGTGGTTACATACCTCAAAAGATTAATATCTTAAAGCAATATCTCTACAGATTAAGTTCCATCCTTCTATTAACTATATTCACCTATTCCTAGTCACTGGCCAGAGGCAGGGCACATCCAGAACTGATCACCAACAGATTTAAGTTTTTTTCATCTTGTATGATATTTAGGAGAATATATACAAAGCATTATGATTTGTCTCCTCATTCAGTGAGGCACTCATGCACAGAAACTGCATAAGATAGGAAGAGAAAATAAGGATCTACCAATTCCCAAAATGACTGGAATCTTTAAAGAACAAACTTGATGGAATAATGAGGAATCTGCATGGTAATTAACACTAAGAACATTCTAGTTTACTTCACATCACCTAATTATAAACATCTAATCAGTCGCATTATTCAAACAACCACTTTTTAAGACTTCAACTTACTATTTTGTTTGTGCTTTCCTCCCATCACATTCCCCATCACCCTTGCTGAGGCAGACAGGAGAGGACTGCAGGCTGGTGATGCTTGTAAACTTGATGATGTATATCGTGACTATAATAAAATGAGAGCTTTCCCATGTCTCAATGAGCTCTTTATCACTTCATCAGATAAATGATGATATAATGAACAGTTACGGAGAACGAAGACAATACTAAACAGGACAAAATAATTGCAGATACATAGATAAATAGTTTCCCCTAGTATTTTCTGTTTCGGTTTTTATATAATATGCTGTAGAATCTACAGCATGTTTTATATATTGAATTGAATTGATCTAGGGTGTAGATCAATTAAATGAATTAAATAAAAAATACTTCATTTATCCCAGTGGGATATTAAATGTTGTTGTAACTTGGGTAGTTAAGGAGTTATTATCAATTTTGATAGCCATGGGCAAGAAAAATATGTTTTGTAACAGTCTGTTTTACAACTAAGTCATGACTCGAAGTCATGACTCAAGAGAGTCTATTTTACAATTTTTAGTCTCATGAAGAGGATGGTCAGGGTTGTCCATAATGTTCTTGGAAAGTCCTCTGACCCTTGAGATCCACCTTGGTCAGTTGACCATTGTTCGCTTTTTAGAGAATAAACCACCAAATAGAGACTTTTTTTTAAGAAAAATCTCATTCTGTAGATTAAACTGATTTTTTTTTCATATATATAAATATATAAATGAAGAAATTATGGTGGTACACATAAATGTTCTTTCCATCCAGATCTTCTCCATCTCCATTTTATTTTCTATACATGTGCAAAGCTCCACTTTTAATTTACTTTGGCTTTTTGCACAATTTTGATAACTATTAAATAAATACACCCCTGCTTAAAAAGACCAATGTGCAGAGGGATTCCCACTACTGCTCATCAAAGACGGGTTTCTCACAGCTTCTCTGGTACAGATCAGCGATAAAGAACATCTTCCAGATTAGACGGGAAATCAATTTTGGTTTAGCTGACGCTTATATAAAGGAAGGTGCATCTGTTTATGGCATACAGCACCTTACACTGTAAATAGTTCAGAGTCAGAGCTTAAGTTAAGCAAATTATCAGTCAAGCTTACTGATAAGTCTCGCAATTGTTCTTTTAATGAAACCCCACTAATCAATACCGAGGGACCATCTAATTTACCAGATAACTGACTGGTGAATTGGCAGTTTCCTCTTCACCCCAAACCTTCATAAATCCAGTTGATAAATATACCACGGTATGCTGAGGGAGATCAGTGTTTCACCCTGGAGTGAGGCTTATGGCAAAGGCCTAATGAGCTACTTGTGATCTGCCTCCAATGTCCAGGGGGTTCCTTAGGAGTGCTATGTGCATGCAGTAGCAGTCTGAGGCAGAAGCCGTGATAAAAATAAAAATGGACCTCAGGTTTTCAGACTCATGAGCCTTTCAGTCTTTTTGTCTGCTGAAAAAATTTCTAACTTTAAAACATTTAATATGTTACACAGCAATTCTCTTTATTTAATGGGGATGGCGGGGGTGGGGGGCACCTACAATTTGTGATTTATCACCAAAGATCACAAGTAAAACCACAAGGATATTTGATACTTTGGTTGTGGAAAAGGATATCTTGACATGAAATGACTAAGAGCATTACTGAAAACAAGTGTTGCAATACTGCACAATCATCAAAGGCATGTCTGTGGTTCATCAATTATTCAGCTGGGTAAAAATACCCTTGAAGGAGACCCAGAGGATACTACCTGAACACTGCGGACAGTTCTTACAGTATCAAACACAGCCATTCTGACTGTAAGACGTTCTGCCTCATCATGTTACATTACCCTTAGTTCAGTAGTTTGTTTGGTGTTTTATTTATAACGCATGTACAAGAATTCAGTGTCAGCATTCTTAAAGATGTTGTCTGCACCACGGTACATTTTTTTCTTATGTAAAATGTGTACGTGATACTTTTCAGCTAAAAAGATCAAGTAGATTAAGAGGATTTTGTCTGTTTTTTTATATTTTACAAAGAAAAAAGTAGACTTTTCAACGATACTTACTTGTAGATATAGCATAAACATCCAAGATAGCAGATGACGGTAAATCACAGTCTGTAGAACTCTAATAAATATATCCATCATGAGTTAGTGAGAGTAAGATGTGAAGGGAACATTATAATGCCCGATAATATATTACTGCTCATAGCTGCTGAGGGCCTGAAAAAACATATTTGGATCCTTTGAAAAACAATGAAAAAAAAAAAAAAATCCCACATGTCAGTGTCATTAGCTGCTGGAACCAGCCCTCCTATCAGTGCACTCCAGGTTCTTTTGAAATAGTTCCATTATTTAATAAATTTCAGGCCTAAAAAAACATATTTTGCTAACCCTTTCATTTACCCAAAAGACATGACGACAGCTGAACCCAAGGTGTTTACAAAAAGCAGCTTACAAACCAATTTGTGATGTAGCTGCATGAACATTTTATCCATGGTATCTGTGTCGAACAGTTGTTTGAATACAGTATTGTGTTCAAATGAAATTAACTGGGGAATTTATCTTATATTCTCACAAAGTGAAAAACAAACAAAAAACTATCTCTAAGCATGTCGCATTACAACACATTTGTTGTTATTTCTTTGTCTGATGAATGAAGGAAGACCTGGAGCCGGTTTATACAGGTTCACAGCAGGATTTTTGTCTCGACCACTTAACAATTTTTGTTCGTTCCCTTATTAAAACAATAATTCAAAGTGATATGAGGATGCTCACTGACTCACTTTAATTTTTCCATCCATCCATTTCCAATGCCGTTTGTCCCAAACGGGGTTGGGATATTTTAAAATATTCACTCCCTGTCTAACTAACTATTCAATTCTAACACCTGTATGTGGGAATAATCTCTAACTGTTTGTACTGGCTCTTAAAAAGATTTACACCGAATTGATGGAAAGCCAATAGTAAAGACGTTAGCGAAGTTAGAATGGTAGATGGCAATCGAGATAAGCCTTTTTGTTGTCTTGTATGGTCAGGCAACCTGTAAAAGCTTCTGTAAGACAACAAGCTACAACATGGTAATTTACATGTCAATGGTGCCATTTATACACTTAGTGTGATTGTAATTATTAAGTAGGGTCACCAGCCCGTGATAAAATAGCCTATTGAATACGTCATAAACCAAGTTTATCTGTATGTCAGTGTTGTGGATGTTAAGTTTTCTGTCTGCCCTGAAGGCAAATATTTGCTTGTTAAAATATGGTTGTGAGATTTTTGTGTACGTGGCCACATTCTGTCCCCAGGCAAACCCCCTGGGCTCGACCAAGATCCTTAATTTTCTACAACTCTTCTTCCCCACTAATTATGTGAGCCTATCTTCCCTTTACTCTCCCCTGACTCTCCACCAACTAGGATGGTCCCTCCTTTTTTTAAAACATCACCCCACCTCGACTTCTGCTGGCCATTCTTCTACCTAGTACTTCTCTGGGTTGTGTAAAGATGGCTTCTTTCTCTCTGTCACCGACAGTCTAGGGTGCTGTTTTCTCAGAGTCAGCGTCTAAAGCCTGCAGAACAATAACAATCTCCTTGGACACACATTTACAAACATGGGATCAACAGAAATAAATATGTGATGTTTTAGTACATGTATTGAATGCTTAATTCAATTGACCAAATAATAAGTAATACTGACTCTATAAATGCTTGGGACAATAAAAATGTCAAGCTTATCTGTTGTTTTTTACAAAAATGCACTCTTTTCATGGTACATTTTTTTATGTCAATGGTTCTCTTTACTTTTAATTTATTGTAAAAAGCAGTGTTTCTTCTTAGTTTTTTAATTCGTATTTTCAAACCTCACTTGAAAATGCAAATTTAATGTTTGTTGCACAGCTGTTCCATAATGTTCCTGCTCTGTTAAAAAATTCCAACCCACCCACTGTCTTATTCTTGACCCATGGGACCGCCTAAAGACCAATAAGAGTGCGCTAACGCAGTTGAACGCAGATCTTGACAAGGTCGGTATGATAACATGCTGTTCCGCAATTCAAGATTAAAAAGTTAATAGCAGAACTTTTTAATCATCTGTAGCATAGACCGAAAGCCAATAAAGGGGAGCAGAGACAGGGGTAATGTGATCATTTAGTCACATGTGATGTAAAGGTATGCACTGTATTGTCTTTATGGCTTTCATCCCATTCATTTGTGAAAAAGGATATGTATAACAAAACTGCAAGTCTGTCAACAGATATTCACATCAATCACAAAGTTGCATCAGAAAAGCCTCTAAGATTTCAAATGAAGGTAATTTTTTAGGCATTTCTGACACATGACATCTTTCCTACATTGTACCAAAAACTTAGATTCCTTCAGGGTCATAAGAAACCGTTTTTATCTTTCCAGTTTTGAAATTCCTTTTTATGTGATGTCTTTTTCTTGGATAAGAAAAAATAAACAATTCAAGAGAAAGCTAGTGGACGGTGGGTTTGAGAAAGGGTGGGTATGGTCTTTATGATACTCATGATCGCATTTATGGTTCTCCAAAGTCAAACATCACATTTTCTTAAGATTTCTAAGCGAGAACCAGGAACCCTTTGGCTTTTTCTATAATCTGAAAACTATTTTTACATCTTCTAGAATACATCTCCCAAATGGTTGAGACAAAATCTTTTTTAACAGCTAATCATAGATGTTTTTTGGACTAGATTGTTTATTATGGGAGCATGTTTTCCTTTCTACTGCTTTTGCTTTTAATTGCCTGGTGCTAAAATGAGGAGGGTGTGGATGTGGATTGATCTGCTATCTGAAGGTGAGATTTATGTAATGGGAGAGGGGTAGAGGTCAGAGAATGAAAGCAAAACAATCTGCTTGCCTCTGCCAGGGAGGAGAGCATTATGGAGGAGGGGAGCCTTATGAAACTAGAAGCATGTTGTGTTATGTGAACATTTGAACGTACAACATCTCAGTGGAAAGCTGGAGGAAAAGAGGACATAGAATGAAAGCAAAAAGAGTGAGACAGAATGAATCACAAACAAAGGGTTCAGAAAGAGAAATATCAAGTGTAACAACTCAAACATGAGGCAGAAAAGACAAGTACAAAGAGAGAAAGCTGTTCACTGAAAGAAAACGCATCAACTGTGCCCAGAAGTTGCTCGGGGTGAAAGTCTGACATTGAAATTCATTTTGATTTGACTGCACAAAAACGTGTGCTGTATTTTATTGCATTTAGGATTATTCATGATGGTAATGGGAGAAGAAACCAAAACAACTTCCAGGTCAAATCTAAAACTCTCAAATGCCTAAAAAAAAAACTCACACAATCTCAACACCCATGAAAATAATAACTGGAAACATGACCATGATGCATCTTTCTTCTTGCCCTGTAGTAGCAACTGGGACAGGTTCCACTTTTCTTGTGCGATTTATTTCTCCTATAGAATAGAATAGATTATAGCATTTCAATTTAATGATATAGACATCACACAAAATCTTTACATTTATTTTTTGAAAAGCATTCTTTGTGAAATGCTTAAAAATACTGCTAAACAGTTGTCATTATCTAAAACTATTCATCCATTTACTGTCTATATCTCTTATTCCCAGTAGGGTTACAGGGTGGCAGTCAATGACAGGGCCAAACAGAGACAAACAAACATATACCTTCATCCATCCATTTTCTGAACTTCTTATTCCTAAATGGGGTCGTGGAACACATGTACCTATCATAAACAATTTATTTAGAATTGATAAAAATTTCAAAAAATAAATTCTATCAAGTACTGTATATGCCTGTTCTCATCTGCATACATCCTTATATTTTAAAAAGGTTTAATTATATGTTAAGATTAAGCTAAATTACCAGTCAAGTCAACCCAAGTGGTCATACCTCTATTCTTAACCTGGCTCAACACGATTTGGCATCAGTGTGCTTTATGTAGGTCACACCATTGAAGCAAACTAGAATTGGAGAGAGTTCTAATCATCAGCTGCACAGATCCACAGACAGGGTAGGAGAGACTGAAAAGCATGAGGGGAATATGTGCACAGCTAGAATGGAGGATCGTAAATGTGCAGCGGCTACAAGGAGGGGTGGAGCTGTTACGCAAAAGGGAAACCACTGCAATCCGTCCACCCCTCTCTCCATCTTGAACATTAATGCAGGACAAAACTCGCCACCCCGCCCATCCCTCGTCTCAGAGCCTCTCATCACCCTGTACTTTGGAGCTATTTAACATGGGAGTAATCCCATTGGCGTTTTCTGTCAGCAGACGATGCTCACTCTGCACACAGAGCTAAAAGCGGCTTTCTGTTTGTCTGGGTGCCTACATCTCTGACAAATCTGTTTCTGTTAGAGTGATGGTGACAGCTCTGGGGAAGAGAGGCACATGGGACAGGGAGAGGATTGGAAAGGGGACAACAAAAAAAGACAAAAGCTTGAAGCCCTTATTAACCTTGGATTTTTATTTAGACATCAGAATATGCTGCTACCTTTAAATAACCTTTTTATCACAGTGTTCCGATTTTTCTCATTTTAATGGAACACCCAGTTTTTTTCACTAAAGGCCAGGCTCTGTCTCTGCATCCTCAAAGGCACAAAATGACCTCTGCTGTCATGTCAGATTGTGCTATGGTAATTCTGGGGAGGGCATGGCAACAGTGACATCTTCTGGTAGGAAAGTGTTTGTTTCAACAGGGAGACAATACTATCACAGGTCCTGCTGGTAACTACATCCATAGGCAGTAAAGTGCTACGTATATATTTGGCCTGGATAAAATAAAGGGGCAGAAAAAACAATCACACAAATATGGAACCCAGTAGTGGAGTCGTTGCCAACTTGCAGGCTCAGTGCAAACATCAAGTTCTCTACAAAAGAGAGAAGATTCCACCTTCTGATGCCAAATGTGTGATATTTCTGCCCAAGACGGTATATCAGAATGAATTTGATTAAATTTGTGAATTAATCCCTCACTCTCATCTGTTGAACGTGTCTCAGATGTTACCAGTTGCTGTAGAGTGTGTTTACTAACATATTGTTGAGCAAGACAAGAAACCTTTTTTGGTTGTTCCACCAGCTGTGCTCTGATACACTCCTCACCTCAGAGTGGCATCAAAAACACCCACAGGCACCTAGCTCAGTCATTCTTACAACAAATATTACAGTTATAAGCTGCCATGTTTGACTAGACAAGTTGTCATGCAACTTCACCATTGGACATCAGTGGTTAAAATGCAACACACTAAAAATATCAGGTTGTGTGACCTTTACAGTGGCTCCTGTTAGAGTTCCTGGCAGCTTCTGACTGAGAACCTGATGTCATGCTTGTGTAGGCGGTCGATCAGGCTGGTTTTATAGAAGGCAGCCCCCGGGGTGTAAACCCCTCCTCTGTCCACAGAAAAACAAAAAAAACTATTAAAACGAGTTAGTAACAATGACAGGCAACCAAATTTGACTATGTATGATAAAGGGTGCGATAAAGTACAACAAAATAGGGTAAAGTAGATGTAACTGACCTCCTGGGGAGGGAGTGCAGCTCATTAAGCAAAGTTAAAGCTGCTTGGACCATGGCAGACACTGTAGCCACATAACCAGGCTCTGTCAAAGAGAAGAACAGCCACAGATAATTATTTTAAACACAGGCAGCTCACAGTACTTCTGATCATGGGTAAGAATTACAAAGGCAGTGAAAAAAGTAAGATATCCTATTTTTCTGGGTTCCGGGTTCCATAGGGGAACACTCTCCCCAACAACACGGTACAAACTCCTCCTAAGGCATTCCCTGGCCGGATAGGAAACATAATCCTTCCACCTAGTTGTAGAATCTACTCCAATGGCTAAGCTACTCACCCTTTCTTTGAGGCCAAGCCTTAATCATAATTACAATTCCAAGTATGATAATTGTAATCATCACTCAAGACCAACTGTAAATTCATGGCAATACATCACTAAACATACTAAAATTACCCTTAATTGTTACAATGTGGGTACTTCAATCTACCGCAGTTCCTGCCCTTGGCCCCTCAAAATGTTTGCAGTGGTTATCTAGGCCTTCATTTGAAGCTTGGGGAAATATCTTGCTTTTTAAACGACTCCTACTGCTTAATACCTAATAACATAAAGACACATGGGTCTATTGTCCATATTGTTCTGGGGTTTACAAAAGTTCCAACCACATTTTGTCCTACTTGATTGGTCCCACTGTCCGAATAATGACACAAGAACTGTCATGATGGCCTTACCTGCTCCTATAACTTGAGTGCAGATCTTTGCATTGGGCCTTCCCTGTGAGGGATCTGTCCCCTCTGTATAGCCCTCCCCAAAAAGTGTCAAGCTGAAGGAGGTATCTTCTATCTGAGAGAGGGGGGGAAAGTGATGAATAAGATTGTACTTCAATACAGTTCTACCAAGGATGGACCATTTTTGTCAAAATTTATTCCAACCCTATGACAAATCTGAGCCAGTGCATGTCAGTTTCACTTTCCATCAACCACTGTGTTCTGTGTCATTCATATAAGTTACATCACAAGTAACAGGATAGCTGCCAACAGAAAAAAGGAAGAGGGCACAAATCAAACCAATATGACCCATAGAAGAACGAAGGTGGTTCTTTAGAATTAAAGCTGACATAATGAGAACCATCTATTCCTAACATTAGATTGCTCCTGACAGCAGAGTGGCAATAACTGGAATTTTTTTCTTTAAAGCTAAATTCAGCAGAACACGTCACCATATTCTTTGTGATGAATGTGGATGTATGTTGTACATTTTCACCTTATAATGATCACCTTCTTGAAGTAGACTCGCGCAGAGAACAGCACTATCGTTTTCAAAAGATGATCAGGAAACACAGACTCACAGTGGCCTGGACTACCTTTTGTCAAGTCCTTTTTTGGAAAGTTAACTTGTAACTAGTGACCTTGTTCAAGCAGTAAGAATAACACAGCAAATTAAAGGAAAACTAAATTGGCACAAAACTAATATTGATATTGTTGATTTGAAATGGATAGGATTACAATGGATAGGACTAAACAGGATTTCTATCAATTAGATTGACCTACATTCTAAACTGACTTAAAAGAACTGGGTTTTGATTTAACCTCACCACAGTCCTCTATTTGAAATACACTGAGATACTAGCCAGTGGATCTTCGTTTGTGTGAACAGTAAAAATGTGAAATTTGGATAGAATTTGGTACTGTATTGATTACTCTAAATTGCCCCGTTAAATGAATGTAAGCTTTTTTTTTCTGCGATATGTCCAGGGTGTATCCCACCTGAATTGAATTCAACCAAATTGAAGTAATATGCTATATGAACTATATTGACAGAGAACACTTTAAAACTTTTGCCTTTCTACTCACATTGTGCTGTAACAGTTCCTGTATGATATTTTCTAGGGCTATTTTTGTGTTTTTGGTGCTATAACAGTATTTTTGTTTTACAAAAGGGTAACATTTAAATCCAGCCCGTCTGATGGGCTTCTGTGTTGTGACGCTGACATCACAATTCACTTGCACAATGGCCAGTGCTGTGAGAAAAAACGCACCATTGTCACTCTGTGTGTTAGTGTAGCTCTCTGCACACAGCTGAAATTACCCTTTTACCCTTTTCCAAGCCCTATTCATCAAGTAATGTTCGGGACATTTTGGGGCTGCATCCTCTGAAAAAACAGTCTGTAGACATCAACTAATTACTATCAAAACACTTCAAATCTGATACACATTAAATGAAAGAAAGAATGAAATGTGTCCCATAAATTCTGGCAGTGGAGCCAATTCATCCATGTTTAGGTGGAGCTATGAATTACAATAAAAAAAATCCAACTTTGAAAATTAGGAGAAAATACTCCCTACTCTTTACTCCAAATATCCTAATAAGTAAATATGAGTGCAAAAGGCAACGTATAGCATACCAAAAGCCTATTTAGTCCAATTCAAGATTGAAATGACATAGGATCACATGATATACATGAAATGCAGCATCACTTTGCAGCATAAATGGAGAAATACCAAGTTTGTTTATAAAAATTGATAAAGTGTGAATATTCTACATATATGCCTTGAATAGTGTCATTTGCCGTCCTTTGTCTCATTGTCAAGGCAAATAACTTCCAGTAAATAACTGTTCATGTGGTTTCAGAATAATAAGGAGACACTTACTCTGTAAGGGGACACTGAGGAAACAAAAAAAACAATATTGATTTCTGCCACGCAAGTATTTTTGTGAGCACAAAATACTTTCTCTTAAATACAACTCGTAAACACTGCTGAGCATTAAATACTTTGTGAGAAGGAAACCATTTTCTTATGACATACTTAGTGAGCATGAAATACTTTCTCATGTAGAAAGTACTTTTTTGTGTGCAAGAAATGCTTTCACTTGAGCATGGAATACTTTCTATTCTGCACTAAATCTCTTGAGAATTTAATCCTTCATTCATGACTAAAAAACTTTATTGTGATGATGAAATACTTTTTTATTAACGCAAAATACTTTCTTGTTGCACAGAATACTTTTTCACGTGCACAAAATACTTTCTGGTATGCGTGACCTGCTTTCTCTTCAGCACAAAATACTTTCTGTTTAGCATTAAACACCTTGCGAGAAGAAAACAGTTTTAGTGTGTATAAAATACTTTTCTCTGGGGAAAAAAATGCTCTTTAGTGAGCATGAAACTTTATCCATAAATCCAGGTAGCATTAAATACTTTTTAGTCAACACAAAATACTTTTTTATGTACGTGAAATACTTTCTACCTCATGTGCGGCAAACATTTTCTTGTATGCAAAGAAAGCTTTCGCTTCAGCACAAACTGCTTTTTCTTGAGCATGAAATACACTATATTGCCAAAAGTATTTGCTCACCCATCCAAATTATCGGAATCAGGTGTTCCAATCACTTCCATGGCCACAGGTGTATAAATTCAAGCACCTAGGCATGCAGACTGTTTTTACAAACATTTGTGAAAGAATGGGTCGCTCTCAGGAGCTCAGTGAATTCCAGCGTGGAACTGTGATAGGATGCCACCTGTGCAACAAATCCAGTCGTGAAATTTCCTCGCTCCTAAATATTCCACAGTCAACTGTCAGCTGTATTATAAGAAAATGGAAGTGTTTGGGAACGACAGCAACTCAGCCACGAAGTGGTAGGCCACGTAAACTGACGGAGCGGGGTCAGCGGATGCTGACGCGCATAGTGCGAAGAGGTCGCCAACTTTCTGCAGAGTCAATCACTACAGACCTCCAAACTTCATGTGGCCTTCAGATTAGCTCAAGAACAGTGCGCAGAGAGCTTCATGGAATGGGTTTCCATGGTCGAGCAGCTGCATCCAAGCCATACATCACCAAGTGCAATGCAAAGCGTCGGATGCGGTGGTGTAAAGCACGCCGCCACTGGACTCTAGAGCAGTGGAGACGCGTTCTCTGGAGTGACGAATCGCGCTTCTCCATCTGGCAATCTGATGGACGGGTCTGGGTTTGGCGGTTGCCAGGAGAACGGTACTTGTCTGACTGCATTGTGCCAAGTGTAAAGTTTGGTGGAGGGGGGATTATGGTGTGGGGTTGTTTTTCAGGAGCTGGGCTTGGCCCCTTAGTTCCAGTGAAAGGAACTCTGAATGCTTCAGCATACCAAGACATTTTGGACAATTCCATGCTCCCAACTTTGTGGGAACAGTTTGGAGCTGGCCCCTTCCTCTTCCAACATGACTGTGCACCAGTGCACAAAGCAAGGTCCATAAAGACATGGATGACAGAGTCTGGTGTGGATGAACTTGACTGGCCTGCACAGAGTCCTGACCTCAACCCGATAGAACACCTTTGGGATGAATTAGAGCGGAGACTGAGAGCCAGGCCTTCTCGTCCAACATCAGTGTGCAACCTCACAAATGCGCTTCTGGAAGAATGGTCAAAAATTCCCATAAACACACTCCTAAACCTTGTGGACAGCCTTCCCAGAAGAGTTGAAGCTGTTCTAGCTGCAAAGGGTGGACCGACGTCATATTGAACCCTATGGATTAGGAACGGGATGTCACTTAAGCTCATATGTGAGTCAAGGCAGGTGAGCAAATACTTTTGGAAATATAGTGTACTTCTTTTTAGTGGGCATGAAATAATTTCTTCATGAATATGAAATACTTTCAAACCGATAGTGAATTTCAATGTTTCTCACAATAAAAGTTCATTCAATTCAATACCACTTTTGTGTTACCTGAGTCATGGCTGGCCCAGCCTTGGTGAAAAAGCCAAAGGAGAAAAATGAGGGAAACTTTGGACAGAAGCAACAAAACAACTATTAGTTATAAATCTTGTTCATGTAGATATCATTAAAAAGGAAAACCTATAACAGAATTAGATTAAAAAATGCTCTACAAAAATAAAGTCCTTTTAGTGATCATTCATGTCATATTCAGTTTGAAAGAACAGAAATTATATCTCCAACGGACGGTTAACACCAGAAGCTAAACAAAGACATTAGGAGGTTTGTAGATTTTATATGTAGCTACCGTAGTAAGAAGTTTTCTGCCAAGGCGGAATTTGACCATGATCCAGAAGAGTAGACCTCCACAAAAAAGCTTGATTATGGAAAAGAGGCTGCCAACCCCAACATAGGCACTGTACTGAACCTGTGGGTGGAGGTGAAGGGTGGAGGACAAGAGTGAAAAAGATACAGAGATTAAATACAGTAGAGGAGCAAATCAAAGACAAAGGTCAAGACCTAATTAGTTGGAAACAGGCAAAAGAAAGGGAATTTGTTGTTAAAAGTTTTAAAATAAAGAGATTGAAAGGAAAAAACAGGAGGGTCAGAGTTTTAGGGGGAAATAAACAATGATGCAGGAGGAAGTGAAAATGAGATGTCAGAGAAAGTAATGAGCAGTGGGAAAGCAGGTGATGAATCACTACAGGTGACTCATCATATTTCCTCTCTGCTGGTAGGTGGGAGCCAAAGCAACATAATGTAAAAGTTTCATTAATGTCTCTGTCTCTAATCAAAACAATTACAGCTCCTAAAATGGCTGACCTAGATACAGCAGGGGGAAGAGAAATTCTGCTTCCACAGCATAGATGCTGAGATACCACCCTGTCCAAACAGAAGGATGCTATCTAAGCATTCAAAATTAGCCTGGCCTCTATTATTTCATGGTACGTATAAGACTTTGTTCTTGGTAGAAGGGGATAAAGCCAAGATATGAGCAGTTATCAATATTTTTCTTTAATCTTTTCTTTTAATTGCTGTGCCCATTGAGGCACACCAATAAACCACTAAGCATCTATACACTTTATTGCCACAAAAAGAACTTCACAAATCTTTAATACCACAGGGATGTTTCACAGTCGCATTAAGACTGTTCCTCGGGGTGGGAAAGCCCACTGTGCCATTAGATTTGAACATTCACAGCAGCTTCAATAATGAGGTGATTGCGACCCCTTATAAGACATTTAGACATACCCAGGGGTTAAAGTTAGTGAAACTTTTGTAATTTCCTCCTAAAAAGTTGTTTTAAGTAATTTAAGTCAAGGACCTTAAACAACATCAGATTGTTAATCTTTTTAAACAAACTCAACTAAACTATTCTTGGAATACCTTTACATAGTTGTGAATGCCATAAGTATGTGATTCTCTGGTTCTTTGAAAATGTCTATATATTGCGTTTGATTCCTTTAAACTGGACAGAACACCTTTACCTCTGTGATGTTGATGGGCTTCTTAACTTGGGTGGATATTAAATATCACAGACATTTAGATTAGAAATGTAGTTAATCATACTTTGCTCTGGAGTACAGCCCTCTTAGTCAGCAATAAGGTTCCAGAAGCAGGGATGAAACACGACTAAGATAAGTCCATGGACTCGATAATAAACAGGGTGTGATTTTGTTAAACACTGATGGGAGTCAAATTGTCTACTATTCATTGGTTAGTTGATATAACAATAACATTTTTTTTTCAAGAAATGTATTTAAACATGTTTCTGTACAAACTATTTTGTAACAAATAATAACACATCTCTGTGATATCATCATTTTACCGGTGACAGTTGTTCCTCCTTGAAAAGGAAATGCTGTGTTCTCTTCACTACCGAAGGGTCAGAGCCAATAAATGGGACGGCGTACTGTCCCATTTCTCTACTGAAAAACACGAGCCCCCTAGACACACAAAAACACAGTTACACAAAGGGAAAGCCAAGTGGTGTATACTCAGCTAATCTACCTCTGCTTGCAGCCTCACCGCAGTGGCATTCAGCCTCTTCTCATTTATTGATGCTTCCCTATATCTGTCTCTCCTACCTTACCCAGCCCAGCATTCAAATAATATCATATTACAATTAAGTCAATCTACTAAACAGTAATAGTCTGCAGATCACAGCTGTCCCACAGTTGCAACCTCAATATGTCCCAGTATTTGGACAATTACTTAGAGCTTTTTATTTAATGTTCTGAGGGAATCTCTGACTTGTTAGTTGACATACTTTAGATAAATTCATCACATTTAAGTTATGATCATTATTATTATTATTATAGTCGCTTTGGATAAAAGCATCTGCTAAATGCATAAACATAAACAAACATAAACATTATCACTTATAATTTTACTTATTATGACACTAACTTAATGCAGGGAATGACAAAAAAAATCTAAAAAACATTGTATAGGATCCTTACTTAAACATGGCATGCCTTTACAATTTTCAGCCAACTCTTACATTCCAATAAAAACTCCACCACCTCAGAGTTTCATCAAGACAGTAATTCTTGAGTAACAGCTTCACCTCTTTTTAACTTTGGCTCCTACCAGAGGCAGGGGCTTGTGGCCAAACTTTTTTCTCAGCTGATGGAGGGTTCTGCGGTCTGCAAAGCCATAAACAGCTGACTGCGAGGTGGCATCATGGCCAGCAAAACCCTGCAAGGAGAAAGAATATTTAGTTTAGCTTTAGATAGATGTAAAGAAGGTAAGCCCCAATTGATAATTGACAATAAATCACATTTTACAATTTATTATCAAATCTATAGACAACTCAGAGAGTGAAACCTGAAGTTCAGCCTGTGATCCAATAGCTCGAAGCAATAATTATCTGTTTGTCATTGTTGTTTCTTTTTGTAGCTGCTGCCCATTGTGGTTCTCGGAAATGTATTTATGAAGAACTCTCTTCAAGGTCCCACCACAACATTTCAATTAGGCTGAGGCTTTAACTTCCTTATTGCAACATCTGGATTCTAGTTTCTTTTCCCAGACATTCTTTTGTTGATTTTGTTGGCATGTTTAGGGGTTAACTGGTTATGCAATTTGGTCCAAGCTTTAGCGATTAGATCGATGGCCTTGTATTTTATACAGAGGAATTAATGGTCAACTCAATGAATGCAAGGTGTGGCTTTAGTCACAAATCAGCATTCCTCCACCACCACATTTCACAGTTGGTATGAGGCGCTTGTGCTGAAATGCTGTGTTTGGATCTTTTCAAACACGGTGTTGTAATTTATGACCAAATATCTTCACTCTGGTGCTGACTGTCCAATGGGCGTCATCCCAGTTGCTGTCTTTTGGTTGATTGAAAACTGTGCAAGCCGAATCATTTGGAGCCACACACTGTGGCTCTTTGGTTCTTTTTACTTTATTCTAAATCTAATAAAGATGGAACAATAAAGAATACCTTACCTTTGAAAGAGGTGGTACAAATCTTTTTACCTGGCTATTACGGCTATTTTAAATTGAGAATGTCCTATTTGAATCTAAAAAGAGAGACAATAACCGCTACATTAAGTTACTCTGACGTGATGTGTGAATTATAAATACTGATTATTAATTCCACAAATCTTCATACACAGTTCCCAATTTTGTCCTCAGAGAACCGACAGTTAGACATAGGCAATGGAAAATGTACCATCTATTATTAGTCAGACTGCAAAGGGATATTAAAGTAATGGCTCTCTATAACCTACACCAAAAGAAACCCACCAGTATTCAAATAAACAAATGGAAATGCAGCAATTGTTGACTCTACCTTTGACCCACTGTTGATTCTCAGGAAGCTGTCCACTGCTGTCAGAGTTCCTGAATCCAACCCATAAACACAACTGAATTTCAGTTCAAGGTTTAGTTCAGTTGAATTTATCTATTCATTATTTTTTGGTTTTTGTTTGAAGTTAATAAAAAATTATATGCAATATGCAACACAGCGGTGCTTTAGCTGTTTCATTTTGCGACCAACCTTTGAACTGCCTCTGCGTATAGAGAACCCCCAGGTCTGCTGGTATAGAATCAAACCCACAGCTGCCAATCACATACACTCCTCTGTTCAAGGCTTTAATATGGTACTCATGCTGCATGCGCTCCAGGAACTGAAGAGGATGGACAAACTCGTAAGACACAAAAAACAACTTGTTTCATTTCATAGTAGTTTATAAAATATGCATCTGTAAACAAGCCTAAAAACTACAAAAATTATCAAAATATCAACGTGTCCATTGTCAAAGTTATCGACAACAGTGGGCAATAAACACCCTCTCTACAACATGCTAGCAGGACAGGAAAAGCTACAGTCTGAGGCTCATCTCATAGCGCTGCATGACTGAGAGGTTCAGGGGAGTCCTTTATGCCAACAGCCATTAAGCTTTTCAACTGAGACTGTTAAACATTTCTGCTCACATTTATTTGTTTATACACTTCTTCGACTTATTGATTATAATTGTATTTGATATCGTAAATATTGCCTGACCTGAGGCTCTCCACAGATGTCTATGTAGTGAGCTCTGTTTTCTATGCAAGCTTTGACCACTGGTTCACCGTGAAATCTGTACTGAGGGGAGGAGAGCAAAGAAAGAAAAGCGTCTGGTCAAAGATAAACCACGTGGTTACAGTTTCTGATCCAAAGTCATTATCCCTTATAGCTCTTATCTTAAAGTTGGTTAGTTTGGTCAATAGTACTTACTGGACCCACACAGTTAAGAATCACTTCTCCTTGCTGGCACATGACAGCCAGTGATTCCTCAATGGACACATCTGCAACAATGACCTCAATGTCTGTCTTCAACTCAGATATGGCTAATAGGAAGGGAAGTGGAGAAACAATCTTACTATAACTTTACAACCCCTTAATACACACCCTTATACTCTATTCACAGCACTACCGACAGCATTGGTACATTGTAGGTATTACATACAAGCCACTCGATATATATTTTAAACGTAATCCTTAATTCGCCTATATGTTTTAATTCATGTTAGCTTTATGTGTCCCCAAATACAGTGGTTTAAAAAATCTTGATGTGAACAACACCGTTCTGTAATCTGACCTGTCCAGAATAGACTGCTAAATACAGGTCTACAGCTACGTAATCATTTATATTTAGCCGTCAAGTTTTTAAGAATTTTGGGAAAGAAAATAATTTCATGAAGTATAACCACCCACAAGTCATGAAAATTCCCCGAACTATAGGCTCAAAGTCGATAAAGCCCTGTGACAGTGACGGACAGCTTGACATTTAATAAGTCATGTCGCGGTTAGCTACAGTTAAAACATGTCCAGCACATACACAATCTCCCTGCGGCTTGTGTCAGCACCAGTTCCAGACGCGGTCTGCTTCTCCCGGCCACGGCCCATTTCAGAGAGCTCCCACTGGGACTCTCTGCGGCACAACGAGCGACCTCATCCACAACAAACTGACCGGTGAACCCCGTTGCCCCGAAGATAATAATGTGGTACGGTTTATTGGGTGTTCGGTCCGCTATTGTTTGCGTGTTAATTCAAGGTCCCGCCTGGCAACGTTGGCTCCACTTGTGCCCTCTGATTGGCTGACCAACGACTGTAATTGTCACGGGAATGATACATTGAAAAGTTTCGGTCGCAGTGCAGTTACCCTGCCACTTTGCAGAAAGAACCCCGAACGAATGTTACGTAAACCTACTCGTGTCGCGCTGTCAGTCATCCTTAGATTATTTATTTTTTTAGATGTATGTCAATTAGGGCGCTTTTCTACTACAAGAGGTAATTGAACATTTGATTGTGTTTTACGTCAACGTCAAGGATCACCTTGGAAACGCTAATCAACAAACTATAAATATTAACCAGGGAGTGCAGTGTTTTGGTAGATTGCCCTCTAAAATGTATCCGACATTAACCATAATTTGATACAGTAAATAGGTAGTTGTCTAAATACTTTTATATAAGTTTCAGAAATATTTCCAGTGGGCTAAATGTTTGGGGAAAGATTGTATTCCTTCTTTTACATTCTGTTTTATATGCAAAATGCTGGTCCATTTCGTGGTGTGAAGTGCCATCTGATGGTCAGGTCGGTGAACTTCATCAAATAGATATTAATTGATTGTTTATATTGGAGAATTATTTTTCTATTTTTTATATAAACGTGTTTTAGTATACGTGAATGAATGAATAAATCTGACTATTCAATACATCTTTATTTTTTAGATTTTTACACTAAATGTGATGCAACATTTCAGGTCAAACCTGTACAGAGTAATCACACCGACACTTTGTACTTGTGGACACAAGATAACAAAATATAGAAACACATAAAGACTGCATATTGCAAAATACAAACAGTTGGTAAACAATTTCCACAATGAAAATACAGAGGTAATATTTGTTGCTTTGTACACATCTGAAGTTCAGTGAAAAACTGAAAATTCAGTCTAAATAAAAAAGCTAAAGAAGCATGCTGGTCAGGTTTAATTTTCACAATCTCATATAAATACAGCTTCTGTTTACAGCCTTATTTTTTGTTGCTTTAATTGAAGCACCTAAGAAATGCTGTTGGTCAACAAAGCTCTGCAGTCACACACATATACATCTTCCTTCTCAAGGCAAAAAACTAAAAGAAACACAAATTGAATTAACAAAATAGAATTAACAGAGTGGGGTTAAATATGGTAACTAAACACATACAGGAGTTTTACTATGTAGAGGGTCATTGTATTGCAAACTTATCAATATGATGGATGCACAAAAGACTACACATTTGTGCAGACTGACAAATAATATCCTGTGTCACGTTTATTAAGGCACAGACAGTAAAATGCTTATTTTCTTTGTGAACTGATCATTCTAAGAAGATTTGAGAGGAGGAATGTTGGAAGTACCCATTTATGTTGAGGTAAACATGCAGACTTCTACAGTGTACTCATGCAGTTGAGATTTTTTTAGATAATCTTCTGGCCCATTTTAATATTAAAACCCATTTATGACCTTGTATATCATGCCAAACCTTCTCAACATGAAAACAAACTGTCACTGTAAAGATTCTAAAAAAGTTTTAAAAAAACATGAATCTACAGGTATAAATGCTACAAATGTATGAGAAACAACTAAAAAAGGACTACTTCTTGTTCACTACAACTTCAGAAGCTGGGGTTGTTTCAGACATGGTCCTTTTAAAGAAGAAAAAAGTTTTAAATAATATATTTTTCTCATTTCAAGATGTATGAAGTAAGGATATTTAATGTTTGTCTTGTAAAACATTTAATAAAAACGGAAAAACATTTGAAATAATTATCAAACTAATAATCAATAAAAGATATCAATCATTTGGTGCGAAAGTTGTAGTCATACATGGCTGAGTTTTTGAGAAGCAAACATGATAAAATGTTTTACAGATAATGTTACTCCTTCTACAGTGAATCATGTAATAGAACTATTCGAGGAATCTGGAGGAATTTCAGTGCATTGGGGGCAATAGAGCAAGCCAAAAGGTTGACAAGTATAATCCCTGACCCCAAAGATCATCAATAGCTCTTTCAAACTCATGGGAAGGGGGCGACAGTTGAAAACCTCTTTTAAGCACTAGTATACATGCACAAATGCCTTTAAATCTTTATAGAGCAGAAGAAGTCTCACTTTATATCCAAAAGCATTATCTAGGTCAAACACAGTGAATGTGAATTGTCATTAGATAAAATCAATAGTCCAATGTTTTTTGTATTGTTTTTTTTAAGAAGAATTGGACATTCGAGGAAAAAATGCCAATCCTGCAAGAAGTCCACAAACTATGTTCTGGGATGGTGGAAGGTTCAATTTAAGGTGTTTGTGGCAAAGCTCATTTACACATCTGTGATGGCAGCATTAATGCTGAAAAGTGTACTGAGGTTTGAGAACAACTATTCATTTCCCAACGAAAAATACTAAACTAAACCATGTTCGCATTACAAACTCAGAGCTGCAGAGGATAAGGTACTAGACCGCTTTCGAAAGATAAGATGTGTCAACAATGACTGCATACTGTCACACACCAAAGAATGCATCATGGGAAGTGTAAAAAAGGGAAGAAAAAAAAATAACAATGTAATAAAGTGTTAAAGCTTTACTGTCCAACCTTTTTGCATTGTGTTGGTGGCCTAAAATTGATGTATGCTACATACTCCAGTGTAGTTGATTAGACTGAACATATCTGTAGTTCACGCATTTTGGCAATTACATGAAAGTAAGTACCTTAAGTAAGTACGTTTTATTTCCTAAGTCTTACTGAGAAGAAGCCTGCAAGCGCTTTTGTTCAGATGAACCAAAACAAAGCTTTAATCTGCCAACTGGCCAGCTGAATCAGATTACTGCTGGCCTGTCAAGACAGCATCTTATTGACTCTAAGTTTCAGTCTCTATGCATTACAGCACAAAGGTCCAAAGCGCCTGGAATGCAGACGAGTGGGTCTAAGTTCTGAGTGGCAGCCAGTGTCCGAGCCCTTCTATGAACCCTCGTACATTCGTCACGTAGAAGTCGACGTTGTGAGTAAAGTCGGTGCAGATGTTTGAGTAGGTGTCCGCCACGGTGCAGTAGAGTGCAGTCCCACCTATGCTGATCACCACAGTGACCAGACACAGCAGTAGCAGGATAAGGCAGGAATCTCCGCCCACCTCATCTACAAGCGAGATATAGGCAAACATTAGTTGTGTCTTTGTACAAAATAATCTTATCCTATACTGTATGTTGCTCTGTACCTTGCTCTATGCCGTCCTCTGGCTCACTGAAACGAACTTTGCGTTTGGAGCTCTGTTTCACATCAGAGCTGTTTGGGGGGGGCAGTCCATCAAGTGATGCTCGCCTCCTCTTCAAAATGGAGACAAGACCATCTGGGGAAGAGTTCTGTGTGAGACGCAGAGGAGGAAAATGAGAACTTTTAAAAGGGACCAACAATTTTGGCCAGAGTTTAAATAGGGGTCAATAAACATTCCCTGTACACACACCTCTCCCTGTGTTGTATGACAATTCTTTTGTCTCTTGACTAGTTTTCCCCTGGGGACCATTGTTTTTGACAATGTGACTGAGAAGTAAGCTGTCAAACCCAACAGCATGTCTTCCATTTGTTTGTTATTTCTTTAAATAGCATTTCCTGCTGTTCATGTTTGTCATAAACCCAGCAAATGAGCTAGACTTGTTACTTCAGCTATGCTTATGTGTCAACACCACCACAGGCCATAAACTCATGCAGAAATGATTCCTTCAGCTCTGACAGCTTTTTTTTTTATATAGGCCAGTGTTGTAATTTTGCCAGAAGCTCACTATACCTCTGTGTTTAGTATTCAATATTTTATGGAGTTAAAGAGAAAGGGAAACATGGAGCTTAACCAGTAGAGCAACTCTGAGACCCATATGAAATGTGAGAGAACATATAACAAAGAAAAAGAGAGCCTCCCAGACAAACGTCCACTGGCTTACATAACAGTCTTGATCTTGAACCCATCAACCCGTACAATTTGTTCTGAAAGTTAGTTTATGCTCCCCATCCAGGGCATGAGGTGTTGGCTCAGACCCCAGGTCAGTAACATTACACATTTGGCAGGGTGTTCATCTCAAGTGGGGGACCACACCAGTGAACATGGGCGGAGGCTGACAGTGATCTCACACAGGGAAAGCAAAGACTGTTCATGGGAGTGTCCCAGCAAAGAAAAGGGCAGATGAGGTGGAAGGACGCAAACAATACAACCTGCTTTTTCCTTCAGTCAATACAGTAGATTAAAGACAAGAGAAGGGGAGAGACGGAAAGTAGATGAATGCGAAGGTCAATCGATTGTTCAAGAAAGTAAAGAAGAAGAAAGTAGAAAGTAAAGATGGTATGAAGGAAAGAAGATCTGATGGCACATGGGGATATAGAGCAGTACATATATCACATTTATCCCCATATTTCTATTAGATGTAGAAGTATTTCTGCAATCCATGAACCAGTTTGTACATAATGGTGATTGTTAGATTTTTCCAGCGCCTTACTAAGCATGACGAAGCAAGAGACAAGCCAAATAAAACCTTCAAATAAGTATATTCTTACCCATTCTGTATGGGACAGTTTGGCCAGGTCCTTGTCTGAAGCCTGAGTTACTCCTGTTGGCCACTCCACTTTCAACTCCTCTTCTGGTGTCTCCTCACACTGTCCCTCTTCCTCCACTTCTTCTACTTCCTGTACCTCTTCACATGTGTCTTTTCTTCCATCCTCCTCGTCTGTGTGTTGTGAGGACAGTGGGGACTCAAGATTCTGTTTTGCGCTCTGTTCTCTCTTTTCGTTGCCATCTGTCTTTTCCAGAGAGTTGACTAAAAAGTGGAAGAACAATAACAAGAAGGCATATTGACAATACTGATAAACAATTTGTTTTCATAGTTAAATGAATAATCACGGTGTGTTCAGTCTTTGAGGCAGCCCATTTTTTATCATATCCTCATATAAATATATTGCTAATGCATTTGCTTTTCACCTATTCCCATATTCTGTTTGGTGCAGAGCTACAATGACGCAAATAATAAACGGGACAAAGAGCAATTTGCAACTATATCATGATTTGGATTTCTTTGGCAGGCTGCTAGCATTTAGCTTAGAAACGGCCACACAGAGTAGCAAGTTGTTGAGATGCATGGTTTTGCTTTTTCCTCTATTTTGATGGATCATGTTATTTTGGGGCCATGGCTATCAAAGACTACTCTTTTCCACAAATACCATGTTGTTACCCTCAATGTTTAGTAGGGTCGATATATGCCTAAATAACATCTACAAGAAAGGGGGACCGTTCTGTGTGGAGTTTCCATGTTCTCCCTGTGTCTGCGTGGGTTCTCTCCAGGTACTTTGACTTTCTTCCACTGTCTAAAAACCTTAATTGGACACTCCAAATTGCCCCTCGGAAAGGATGTGAATGCGTGTGGTTGTTTGTCTCTGTGTGACCCTGCGATGGACTGTCCAGGGTGTACTCTGCCTCTCGCCCATAGTCAGCAGGGATAGGCTCCACCCACCGTGACCCCATTGAGAAAAAGTGGTATAGAAATTGAATGGATAAAAGCTAGGTGCTAAGCAAAATAAAACCACCCAGGACATAATTTTATCGGCATCTTCCCATTATAAACGCCAGGAAATAAGCTAAATAAAACCACCTAAGACATAATTTTATCGGTATCTTCCCATTATGAATCATACAGCATAGCCAAACAACACTTATGTCTTCAGAAGAGACTTTCTGTTGTGATAGAATTGACAACAGTGATATGTGTCAACTGTCTGTCTGTAACCAATCTTTTACATCATAGCCAGAGTGGTGTTGTTTTAGTTTGTCCTGCAGTGGTTCTTCTGTGAGAACCGAACACACAGGCCAACTCTAAATCCATGTGTGCATCAATAAGCTTTAGGCAACCATTGACTTTGTCCCTGTTTAACCTTTTGCTAACCTTCTGCTACTTTTTCTACTGGGAATAGAAGCTACTATTATGGTGATGGTCTGACGATTTTTTAACCTATCACAGCCTGGTCCCTGTTCACGGTCAGATCTTTATCCTTCATTTCTTTAAATAACTCAAGATTCAGTTGCTATCTTATTTATCTAACTAGTTGTGAGGTGCTCCTCTAACGAGATAATCAATTCAATTTACTTTAATCATCAATAATTTTGCTGTAAAAGTGTTTTTACCCTCATCGAGGCTGGTTTGTAAGGTCTCCTTCTTCTGATTGTCGCTCAGACCTTCATTTATGTTTTTCTGTTAAAAGAAACATAGTCGGCAAATACTGTACATTACATGTAGAAGTCTGAAATTGATAAACTAGGAAGGGTAGAACATTTCACAGGCCTTACCTGGCCAACACTGATGGATGGTCTGAGTGACGGCACAATTACACAGAGATAAAGAAAAGCAGTAAGTAAGGAAACCAGACAGGCCCGATTGCAAAAGACAAAGAGAGGTGGAGAACGTCCAGACAGTCTTATTCATGTATTTCAGGAGATTCTAAACATATGTTAAACATTTTGTCAGGCCTTTTCAGAAGAGGGCTTCATCTGTTTCTTTGCTAAATCAGAAGACAGGTCACGTACAGGACACTGTCACATTTTCTGCCCTGTCAAAATACTGCATTTCATAAGCATTCCTGTTTGTCCGTCTCCATTTTATCCCCATTTATTACCAAAGTAGTTGACCCCAGGATGAGTCCAAATGAGAGAGAAAAAAATAGCTTATTTTGTTAAGGCGGAATTTACACTAAAAGCTTTCTGCCCTGCTGGAATGGAGACGGCATGTAAGGAATGTGCTCACATGAGCGGCTTCATAGAGAATACTATGTCAAAGGCATTATCTTGGAAAAAGTGTATATATGAAACGTGCAACGGAATGTGGAAAAGAAGTGTCGCTGTGTGAGGAAAGTCTGCTGATGTTTACTTGAGGTGTGTTCTGCAGATGTGACTCAGCATCTCAATATGTTTCTCGGTGACATCGTCTGTCTCAGTCGACACACTGCTCAAAATGTCCCTCTTCTCCCGCCATTGACTCTCTGTGAACATATGGAGTGCAGAAGCATAGAAAAAAAGTTAGCTTCCGCCCCTTTATGTCAGTATGGTACAGAATTATACTGTGAAGGGATGCATATAGTACCCAAGTTCTCCTGCAGCACGGCAAGGTTGAACAGTAAACGTTCATGGTAGAGCTTCTCCAGCTGAAGAAACTGGATGGCGGCTTGATCTGATTACATCACCAGTTAAAGCGACACATGACTAAAAAGTCTGCAAAATCAGTGTTGAAGCTGCAACACACTGTCACATTGGATGGAAATGCTTTTTTCTACACCAGTTATACCTGACTGTGTAAATCATTCAAACTGTCCATCTAACAGAGAAAATTCAAGAGCGCATGTATTGTGAAGCAGGCATCTTTGTGCATTATCATATCACTAAATTGTGCTCACAAAAACTTTCACCTGAGGTCTGAGTACTCATGAAAAAAGCACAGGAGCAGCCTAAAAAAAAGCCTTAGCTGTCCCATAATCCATTGTTCAGTTTCTGCACGGGACAACTTTAAGTCTAGCAAATAAAATAACTTAAATGTATCAAGAAAAAAACATTTTGCCAAAATGGAAAGCGTCAGAGGATAATAACTTTAGTATTCATTTTTTCAAACAGTTTGCAGTTTAAACAGTTACACCAACATGTGACTATGGTAAATTTATGGAAATTACTACAACTATTACTATTATTATAAAATTACTCACTCAATGTATATTTTTGTGCTAAGTTGAATCTGTCAAAGTCTCATGAAGCTGGGGGCAAACAATTCTGATGCAGAGTTAGCTTGTTCATGCATCATTTGTTTGCACGGTTACAATAGAACTAACTATTAGCAACAATTAATTCTGTAAGTGCCTAATAAGGATAGGAGATACCTTGGGAGCTAGAAAACTGAACTCTTGGACAACAGCAGAAGCAAGACAACTTCGAAAGCCAGTTGTTTTTGGTAATTAAGCCTGCCCGGAGCTTGTAAATTCCATAGGGAGTAATCTTTAGACTAGCTTGCAGGGGGCGCTTGGCAAGCTTTGTGCTACTGATCTCAAGAAAAGTGCAACCTCTGGCAAAACAACGTGGTAAGCTGTTTTAAGTTAGCCCAGCTTTGCCCACCTGAATTGTTGGAGGCATACAACAGGAATATTGTACTTTAATAATAATTAGGGAGACCTGCAAACAGGTGGAGATCAAATTCTACTATACATTGATCCATCATTTACTGAAAATGGTACTGGAGATACAGCCAAATCCTTTAATGGCACGGGATACCTTTAGTTTCCTGGAAAAACACAGATTTGTGCAATTTGGGGAAGCCAGACAGACAGCTGTTGCCAGGGGAACAACATAAGCAGCTCCAGAGGAAACTACAACTGCAAGCCCTTTGGGCTTCGGGCCAAAGCACGGGAACACCCAGTGCCTGAGACCAAATAAGCAGACAGAAAACAACTAGACAGAGAGGGAGGTGGGGGATCATGGATGGCTAGCAATTATTTTGTTTGTCTCACATTTTACATTTCCCTCTAGAATGATTAATTGCATTTTTTAATTCTTCATATGTCAGTATAACAACATAAAAACAGAACAATGCTGAAACAACCAATGCCAAAATTCAGTCAAATAAGATGGAAGTTTTAAATCAAGAAAATGCACTTCATGTCACACAACTTTATCTATTACATGTGTCCATCTGGCTTAATACCAGCTGGAATACTTTATTTGTTTTCCAGCTCTTTCCGAAGGAAAGAAAATTAAACTGGGGAATTCTACAATGAGCAGGAAAAAAAAAGTCCCATTGCACTCAAAAGGATACAGTCCTCTTTTAGTGAGCAGGCCTCTGCAATCTTTAAAAAGAAGATAATTGATTAAACAGGAAGTGCAGAATGACATCTCGCAGGAGTATAACTGTTAAGTCATGTGAGCGGATTTCCTTGTATAAAAGGTTTTTAAAAATCACACTCCTATGTGCTTTAAATGATACTGTGAAACACTCATCAGTGTTTTTTGTATGTTTTTACTCAAAATGAATGTAATTCTTCTGAAGATGTAGATCACATGGCAGCATCATACCAAGAAACAGAGACATGCAGAAAAGCTTAAGACATGGAGTCACATGAATGGACTTATGGTCTGGATTAACATGTCTCTGTAGGTTTTTTTTCTGATGCTTTTGCCTTTATCCAGAATTTAGAAAGTATATAAAACTAAGACTATTACTACCACTAAAGCTTTGGCTTCCACAGACACTGACAAATGAACAGTAAATGTCACAAAAATGCTTACTGCTAACTTCTAGTAACTGAAAACGAAAATTCTGATTATATCCTTTAATCATTTTAGCTTTATCAGATGAAAGTTGTGCATATGGTAGCAGTTGCTTTCTAGATATGTATAACTTAGTAATTACGTAACTTTTTACATAGTAGGGAACATGGACAAGAAAGTCAATTTACATAAAAATGTCCTTTGCTTAACAGAAAAACTCATTAGAAAATCCTTCTCATAGATAAAAAAGGGTCAAAATCAAGTTTTGTAAAATGATATTCCAATTTTGTCTTTAGAAAACAAATCATTCGTCATTCCATTCCAAATACTTCAGTGCATTTCTTATTGATTGATGTATGTTTTCCATTAAACTCTGCTTTGACCTTAGTTTATAATACGGTACTCATAAATTACAACAAGCTTTAACATCTAACCTACAAGACGACCTGAAATAATGATTCATGTCTGTACATAGTGTTCAAAACACAAAAACACTTTTCCTTAGTTGTACACATGACTTATTTAGGTTCCTTTATGGAGGCCATTCTGCACCCTATGATTGAGCATCACTCCTAAAAGAGAATTGTGAACAAAAGTGGACCTGGCCTGCACATATCAACAGAAATTCCTAGCACTTGGACTTGATTTGTAATAAGAGGAGAAGAACAAAAGAGCAAAGGGATGCCATTTTAATTCTAAGCACCCGCTACATACCTTCTTTAGCAACTGCTATTGTTTTAAACTTTAGCTTTTTTTTTTCAATATAATAATATGACTTTTTTTAAATCATAAAACAGGGTGTTCCTTTAAATTCAACAGCTTAGACGAAAACTTACAGGAAACCTTAATGCACACCAGTCTAACTACAATATTTGCTACATGTGCCTCCATTAACACAGACAAAATTGATTTTGCTAATATGGCATGCAGAAAAACTCAGACATTTGTAAATGTAAGCTCACAAACACATCCATCCATCCATCCATTATCGTTACCGCTTATTCCCTAATGGGGTCACGGGGAGAACTGGAGCCTATCCCAGTGGTCCATCGCAGGGCCACACACAAGACATACAGGGACAAACAACCACACTCACTCCTAAGGGCAATTTGGAATGTCCAATCACCTAACATGCAGGTTTTGGACTGTGGGAGGAAGCCGGAGAACCCGGAGAGAACCCACACAGACACATGGAGAACATGCATGTGGCTAAATAAGGACACAATGACGTCACTCTTGATTTGGAAGAATATGTTCCACATAGTATGTCTCAAGTGTTACAATTTTTTTATGCATGCACACACCTGGTGTAATGAGTGTGGTAGTACAGTGTAGTCACTGTTGTCTCCAAGGGATTCCAAAGCCACCAGCAGTTCTGGGCTGGGCCCCTGTGCACCATCTGTGTACACACCTCCTAGAAACAAAACCGAAAACAAATCTTAAAATTAAATGTATCCAATGTCACAGATGGCAGATGCTACATGTTTGATTCATAAATACTGACAACAGTTTATTTAATGTATTGCATTGACTTGAAAATGTTCGCTTGGTCAATTATAGTTTAGTTGTCCTGATACGAAAGGAAAAAAATGAAACTATACTCTAATTATGATTAAGAAAGTTGGAGGAATCTCACCACAGCACACCACAAATCCATATTGATGTTGAAAAAGTGGGGAGAACTGCCTCAATGGAATCTTACCATCAGTAGTTTCTGTCTTAAATCATTAGCACGTATAGAGTTTTTCAACCAATATTGCTCAAGCCACCACGTCGGGGTTTGCCAATCCAAATCAGTGTAATGTTTAATGCTGTCATTAGTAGGTTGTGTAAGACAACATTCTACTGGTTTGTCTAACTTGCAACTTGAAAAGTGGTCGACTTGTGACATCATTCCTAGCAATAAATTCCAAAATATGTGGATTTCAGTATTAGTATCAAGCTCCAAATTAATAGAAGTTACCAAATCTCTTAACCAACTGACTTTTTTCAAATATATTAAGGCATTAAGAGATAGTCTTCTATTATCAAAACATAATTGTTCAAAAAATAATTTTGAATTTAAAATTACATTTTTAAAAGTAAAAATTATTGCTCCAGATACCTTTAAGATCAATATATATATATATATATATATATATATATATATACATATATAGCAATAACATATTTTTCAATAACCCCTGCCATATCTTCATGACATAAAACAGTAGATCTGTTAAATCTAACTCACAAATCCTGTTTTCTGAAACTAGAAAAAGTTTAATGCAAACAAAGATAAATTATATTATGGTCAGTTTGGCATCCTGCAAGGCGGCATTTCACTCGTATCAGGGGTAAAAACTCAACACATCCCAGGTTTGTCTGCTTTATCAGTTGATTATCAGTCTCTTCTGATCTCTTTGCGTTTTCTGCCATTTCTGAGGCCCAAAGCAACTCAGCCACAATTAAGATAAAATGCTCATGGGCCACTGTCCTGCAGGTTTTCGAGGTGTCCCTGTTTCAACAGATGTAGATCAGATCAAATGGATCAAGCTCTGCAAAGGCCTTTTCCAAATAATTTATGCAAATCAGGTCTGCTAAAGATGTGAACCATCTAAATCCTGAAGGGAAGTAGCCCTCGGGGACTAGAGTTTGACATGTGTGGTTTATGGGCAGTTTATAATACAGATTGGAGACTTTTGGAATTAGACTGGCTCATCGTAAAGGCATCCAAGAACAATATTTTGGCATATAAACACTTTGTGATACTGTTGTGGAAATGTTGTTGCTATGGAAAAGCTTTGTTTCCCCAATTTCTATGATTTGATGCTTTGTTTCCTAATTGCTAACGCTACGCTAACCTTTGGTCTCACATTATTTTATCTTTCAATCATTGGTGGTAAATCTGACAAAGAACTCCAGTAGTACACAATGAATACACAGATAAAGTGTGCATCTATAAGTCAAGAAGAGAGGGATTCCTTGAGAAAATAAATTGTTTGCAGTTGGAAGTTCATGTAAAAGGGTTAGCCAAGAGAGTGCAGTTAAGGTTAGCCTCCAGGAAAAGGGTGTGTGTGTGCTCATCCCCAGAGAATATGGCCCATATCAAAGCTGACTGACAGCTTGAAACCATTAGTGTGACAATCAGTCACAAGGCAGCGTAACTCTTATATAAAATCAAATGCAGCTGCATAGCACATTGCAAAGTTCCACCGGTATTGGCCATTGCTTATTTGCAGCTTAACGTCACCCCTGATCATCTGAAGTGCTGCTTCTTCCGGCACAGTGTAACAGTTTGGTCGAAACAGTTTGGTACCACTGATGAATGAAAAGCTTTAAGCTGTCCTGAAAAGCCTTTAATCTGCAAGCTTTCTGCAGATGCTCTGTTTTCACTGTCTGGTACTGTGCTATGAGATAAATGTTAACATATCATACATCAGTAATAACCTGAGAAAAAGTAGCAATCAATTGAGAAAGAGGCGTATTTTACCTGTGACACCATCGGCGAACACTCCTTCTTTTTGCATCTCCTCTGTTTCAGTATATTTGGGTGTGCTGGTGTTTTTATTGCCCATCACCCCAGTCAAAGCAGCGACCTTATTCAAGTTCCTTCAAAAGCTTCCGAGTGATCTGTCTTCTGTCTTTTCTGAGGCCCTGACTGGAAACACACTAATTTTGTAGAGGTTTATCAGAGTGCTTCCTATAAGCAGAGATAAGCAAATTACTTGGGAAAGTGTACTCCTGCTTAAGCCTCAGGGCACGATTCAAGGGCGCCTCAACTCAAGAGAATGAGGTTTCCGTGGCTGCCGGTTTGTGATCAGTCCTGACGGGGCATGTGATTTAATCCTGCATCACCTCTCCCGGGTGGCCGAGAAGAGAGAGGTTTGAAATGTCACCCACAGTCCACAACGGCAAGGCTGTGGATGATGCCATTCCCAGCTCTGGTTGGCTCTCCGGATTCACCAAATCCCATATGGTTTATTATGCCTTGTTTTTCCTTCTTCTTCTCTTCCAATCAGATTTCAGTGCAGCTTCATTGTCTTGACCCACAGTGAACTGTCAAAACAATAAGACACATTTAAAAGAATGGTCAAATATATGCATCGTTTGTACTGTATTATATTGAGACAGAAAAAAGAAGAGGAGAAGCCTTTCTAATGAAATGCCAGTTAAGTCATTGAATAGGTTGTTTTTGTGTCTAAACTATGACTGCCAGGCAGAGTATTCCATTCAGAATAAGTCTTGTTTGACCGTATTGTTGAGCAATGAGCGACGAGAATGTCGCAGGCAGCACAGACAGACAGCCCTCTGTATATACTTTCAGAATTTCTAATCACTTCTTCCATCAGAGTGGATCGTTCTGAAATAAAGAATGACTTGTGCACAACACATTGTGGTGAATCATAACAGAGTTAAATATCTGTAAGATCAGTTTGTCCAGTGTGGGGCTAGGCCACAATTGTGAATTGTGTGGCTTAAGTGCTTTTGACAAGTTCTCAAGAGTTTACCTGTAACATTCAATAAAAGCCTTCTATGAGCACAGAGGTGAGTTGTAACTTTAATCACTCCTGTCACTAATTATCCTCATCTTTTACCAAACTCAGAACTCAGCCTTTCAAATGTAGTGCTACAAATAAATACTTATCCAACAAAAAAAAAACTTTTTTTACACCGATGCTCTCCAAAAGCTTAGACACAGTCAATCCCTGTATTTGTATTTAAAATATCAAAGAGTTATGTCTTTTTCTGCCTCATGTAACTTCCATTTTTAGCCTGAGTAGCCTGAAAGCAGCACAAAAATGTCCAATTATTGTGTTCATTCAGCATGTTGGCTGTCACGTTAAAGATATGGATTCTGCGGCATGGAATGTGACAGAAAGTACAAACGCCAGGAGCAGAAACTGAGTCATACGATGTAAGCACAGAATCAAGATTGATGCAAGCACCCTGAAAATCTGTATTATTCACTCCGATCATTGCAAATTTGCTTTTGTTTACAATTTTTGTTAATATAAATTCATGCTTCAATAAACAAATTCTTCTTCTTAAGGCTGTTTATTCTAAATAAATATGGAAAAACAGCCATCTAGGATTAATACCACTCTCATGCTTGAGCCAGTAGATGGTTGTCTTAGCTCAGCATAAAAAACTGGAACCAGTTAAGACACATTCAACCCCCAGCGTGACCAGTTCTGAATCACTACTGCACTTCCTGACTGAGATGATTCAAAGACATAAACATCCCCAAATCAGGACTTCTCAATAAGTGTGCTACTGGAAGGGGGGTTTAAGACAGAGTATAAACAAGCCTTCTCTCGAAACATCTCTTCTATATAATATCTGCTGGAATCACAGTCATATTTACTGTTTACATCTTTTTATTTGTCATTGATTTATAAAGAAAACTATAGATACAAGCTCAGAATTGAGACACTGAGTTTTTATTGTAAAAAAAGATGTATATCTCCTAAATAACTACCTGCCAACAAAAAAAGTAAGTGTTCTTGTGTTGTAATAATGAAAGTATCATCCAGTACCTCCACCCTGAGGTGCTGCTCTATTTGTATGTAACTTTACATAAGGAGGAAAACCAGAAAAATAAAAATGAATTTGCTCAACACTAAGCAATAGTAACAACACAATGTTTAGAAAAACACATCTAGTCAAAAATGCTATTTAAAGAATACATTTCTAATGGTGCAAATACATGCTGGTGTTCAACATTCTGCAAAAAATGTACTGATTTCTCACCTAGTCCGTGGGCCAGAATCTGTACGATGACTTTCCGTTTGAACTTTTTGGGGGCAACTTTCTTCCAGTTTAGTTAGATACCTTGGACTTCAGTGATCTCAAAAAGCCAATGTTCCCGCGTTTTCACTTGCACATTAATTAATTACGGCCAATTAAAATTTCGGTAGTTCCACATCTGGCCTATAGGTGGCTAAAACTAAGAAAATCTCCATATTTTTGGTTTTAACCAAGTGATCTTTACCAAAAATACTTTAAAATCATTAAGGTTGATCATTAGAAAAGTTTTTTATGCAAATACTGATGGAATCAACATGGAAATGCAATTTAGACCTTTAGTTTATATTTTCGCTGCCAGGGGGCCCCTGAACCTGAATACTACATATTTTCCACTTTATACAGCCATAGCAAGACAAAAAACAATAATTTAATATGCAAAACCCTTGTTTTTGGTCCAATAATTTCTTACTAATTTAATTATTGAAAAACTGACACTTCACTTTCCATCATATTGCATTTATTAACTTAATGAGAGAAAAAAACTACTATCACAAGTAAACCTTGGTATAAAAAATTGAATAATATATCATTTTCACTGTCAATAAAAACTAAGGATCCATATTTATGTCTAATATAAAAATCTGAACCCCTCATATTTACAGTTATATTATTTCTTTCTTAACCTTTCCTCGCGACATCATACTATTTAAATCCAAACATATCATATTTACATCATATTATTTAAATCCAGACCTCTCATATTTATATCTTTTATATTTTCATCAAAAACTTACAACATATATGAAAAACATCACAACTCATCACCTGAGTCATCCAAGTCCTCATTATCATTTGATAATCATTTGATAATCATTCTCATTTTCAAATATAGCAGGACAGTTTGCACAGTTGACACATTGGCAGAGGTCACTACATGGCAAATGACCCCTTTTGCATGGACAGATTTGTGTAGCACATGCATTTGTCTTGCACTTGCAAGACATGTCCATTGTGACATCAGATGGAGCTGGAGGATTTACCATCCAACAGTAGGAGAGCTCTCCATCTTCAAAGGACCAGCCATGGCCTTCTGGGTTAGGGGTGTTAATAAACTGGTTGAAACACCTTCTATAAATTGCTAGCTGGTATGCAGCTCGCTTAGAATGTTGTCAAAGACAAACATCATTTGGTGGAAAAGATTTATCTGATTTACAGAGAAGAGAACATTTTAAACCTGGCATCATTAACCCAGTTTTTCTGTCCATAAAAGTGACAGACAAATTCTTCAAGCTGAATGAACAATTTATCATCAACATCCCAGTTTTTCCCAAGAATTTGAAAGCAATTAACAGCTGGCTCTGATTCAAGCATCATCCTTAAGGCTTTAACTTTTCCTTTCCCTTTAAAAGGCACTTAACGTGTCACATCCAGTAAAAGCATGAAGACCAACAAAAGCTAGACCTTTCCTTGGACCATGAAGACTTGCTAGATGAGAAATATTAACAGTACGACTTTTGTTGCCAGTCCCTGTCTTAAAATAGATAGTACTCTCAAAACAATGCACACAACCCAAAGCCAAGACCATGACATCAGTGTCTGGGCTCAAGATAACAATATCTTTATATTCCAAATAAGCATGCTTTGCATGAAGTAGAAGTCTGGTATCAGCTTCTTTCACGATGACAGCAAAGATTGCTTTGGGTTTGCTCGCGTACAACACGTTTACTTGCTCTCCTAATTTTTGTTTTGTCCGTGTACTTCGAGCAGCACTTCCTATGGTTCCCCAGCTCAGCGGGTCTCGGCGACTCAACTGTGAACTGAGAGAAAGTTTCGGCTATTTCTTTCTTCCTGCCATCCAGGTCTATCCAGGACTTGCAACTTTCAATAAATCGCCGCCAACCGGCACCAGAAAATGAAATAATTGGACGTTCTTCGTATTGAAACAAGTGCAAAAAACATTTCACGGGCGCTGCCATATTTAAATAACAGAGCGCTCGCGCTGAGATTCAGCCATCTGATTGGCTGATAAGCAAAACTCGGATCTCGCGATTTCTTAGATTACGGCGAAAAATTATATTTTTAATCGACTATAACTTATTAATGTGCAAGTGAAAGGGTGGGAACATTGGCGTTTTAAGATCACTCTAGTCTCTAGCAACTTATCCAAGTGAAAGAAAGTTGCCCCCTAAAAGTTCAAACGGAATTGCTTAAGGAGACGTCGTACAGATTCTGGCCCACGGACTAACCCTGTTTTGACCTCCTCCTCTCTCCGTTTGCTAAAGTTTTACACTTTGGACACAAAACTGGCTTACAACAAATTCAACTTTTTCTGAATAAAACATTTAAAAAAAAAGTTTGAGTGGGTGAAAATTGAGGTTGAGTGTTTTGGTAGTGAATTGCATTTTTAAGTTGAGACTCACACTAAATTCACAAATGTTTAATCTGAAGGCCGTTATGTTAGGGTTAGGGTTAGGGTTAGCTTGAGGCTTTGACCACCCAAAGCTGTTATTAAGGCAAAAGAAATTCATGCAATTTTAAGGGGCATGAACAAACATCATAAATTCAATCAAAATATCTTTAAATATGTTGCCGACCCCATTTATTCCCTCGTGCGCAAAGGTGTTATGATAAGATAAATGTCGCACAGGTACGTTGCGAAGTGTGCGTGCGCGTGCACGTATTGCTGACGTCTGGAGCACTCTGTTGCGCGCGCCCATTACGCTGTAAACGCTAGGTGGACTTAAACGTACGTGTGGTCATAGTTGCTCGTTATTTTTTCTTTAAGTAGCTTACGTATTTCTTTTTGTTACATCACAAGAAAAGTCTTGTTCAATTTAGGTTTAACAAAAAACACACCACAGCATCCTTTTTAATAGCGAATACAAAGTAGGCACCCGAGTTTATTATGTTTTTCTGCTGTTTTACTCCGCTGCCTTCACTGTCACTACTTCCTATAGTTGTACCAATACGTCAACAACTCCTTTCTAATATCATACCGAAATTAGATTCCTAAATGCTGAAAAGTATCTCTATATATTTGTTAACAACTGGAATAACTGAAAAGCCCAGGGTATGGAGATGGAGAGCTGTACTCACGGCTGAATGGTTCTCGTCGGAACATCAACGCCCTGAAACAGCTTTGCTGTGTTGCACCGTTTTCCCGCCGGCCTACGGGAGCATCTGCAGAGGGCTCGCTCCTGTCATCTGCCCGTCTCTCATACTCTCTCATGCTTCGTGTTTACGCTTCTATCCGGGGAGTTATCTGCCAGCAAAAAAAAAAAACAAAAAAACATAGCCTATTCCCGTTTGATTATTTATTTCTTTAAGTCAGTGGCCGAGGCTGCCATCTTCTGGCAGATGTTTCACACTGGCTGCCGGTTGTGTCGCTGGTTACGTAACAACAGCAGAAGCGATTAAACGAAGGGGCGTAAAGCTGAAAAACAGAAGATTGATTACAGAGGAAATGACCAAAAGAAAAACCCCTTTGTCGTATTGGCACTTTCACAGTATATGAAATGAATAAAGTACATATTTATCAAGATGACTGGTTCTTTAAACCCGCTGTTAAGCCTGTATTCTTAATATAATCTCTTCTTCTACCTCTTTGTTTTACAACAAGCAGCGGCTTGTGTAATAGCCTGTTAAACACAACACCCAGGAAGTGGAAATTTGTACCATACCATACAATTCAACCTCACAACATCGAGCTAGACTGATTTTGTAGCAAAAAAGTGCATTTTAGCTATTTCAGATATTCCGTTTTAAGAGACTTTATATATATATTGCTAGAATTTGGCCATAATTACTCACTTTAGCATTGTATGCTATCACATAATCTATGTCAATTACTGATTGTGTTATTCCGTTTAGAACTATACTTTTGTGTTCAATTCTCTGGCTGTAACCACAGATTTTCTTTTCCTCTCTTTCTCCCTCTGTTGCTTTGGACACACGTCATTAGGTCAACAAATACACACACACACAAACTTTGTTACCACATTCCAAGGTTAGCTGCATTAATTAGGACCTGGCCGGTTCATGTCAGGGTTAAGGTTAGTAAATAACTGGCCAGTAAGCACTCAGTAGTGTCCAGTCCTTTTGAGGGGTGTGCCCAGCCCAGGAGACAAACACCAATGACACACAGAGTTCGGGGCTATTTGCCAACTGAGACCCTGAGAGAGGTGTTGTCTGTGAAGAGCCCACTGCTGATATACTTTGCCTGTAACCAGATATGTGTAATTTTTTATACTTTTGATCTACTCTGGTTTATTCTCAGGTTTCCAACTAAAGAATCGGGTTAACATATTTTAATTGACCACCGTAACTATGCTGCAGGTCCACCACACATGTATTTTTGGCTGATTGAAACTAGAATAGACTTCACTAATGTGTTTGAGTTTCAGAAATAGCATAGCATTGTTGTCCAGATAAACATTTCAGAGTAACCTTTCTTGGCTGGATCTGAGCTAAAAGTGCACTCTTGAATACCTAATCTGATGTTAATATTGTTTGATTTTGTATAGCCCAATAAACTTGCTTATTCATCGATCTTCAGCTGTCTTCTGTCTTCTACCAAATATATTTGTATGCAAGTTTTATTTTACTTAAAAGAGAAAGAAGGCTTGTATTTAATGAGGTGCAAACTGATCTTGGTTTCATCTGCCCACCTAATTTTTGGCCTTGTTTCTTATCTGAATAGTGGTATATACACCTGTTGGAAAGTGTTCCTTACTCATGACTGATGTTTCAAATAATTTTTGTTTTTGTTTTTACCTTGTCAAATTTCCCATGTTCATCTCCAACAGTTTTCATCTAAGGGCATCCTGGACATTTTATATTCCAGAGCTTTTATTTCCTCTCACTGTTGATCTTGCCTCCCCTTCCTCATGCTGTAACTAATTAATTTGTCTTTGAGGACAAATAATATATTGAAAGCATTTTTTGGATATTCCTAACACCAAGAAACAAATAAGCAACAAATCTATCTCTTTCTTGACTGATGTTAAATACACAAAAATATGCACTTGAAAATCTCCAATCGTTTTCAAGTGTATACTATTGCTCACTAATATTGAGTTAAATTTTTGTTATACCCATTAAATCACATAAAATAAAGGAGTTTGATTTTGTCTCCAAAAGTGAACTTGCTCCAAATTAAATACGTATAATAATTGTGTGTATTTGTTGCATTTTCACAGATGCAAACCACTGTGGTTTGCTGCAGATCTTTTAGAAATTCAAATGAGACAAAGAATCTAGAAGTGGGGCAGAGAAAGAGGAAGGGCAATACCAGGAAAGAGAACATTTTTGTCTGTCTCTCTTACTAGTTTTTTCCGTCTGCCGTAATAACGCTGACTTTATAATTGGGCTGCTTTAGGGCTGAACTCTGCTTGCTCTCATTACCTTTTCACTTTCCATAGGCCACAAAAACCGTGCTTGTTAGGACTGTGTCTCAACCTTGCATGGGAAAATGCATTTCGTTTCTCTTTGCCTAAACAGTATCAAGTAAACACACGTTCATAAAAGTACTTTCCTTCTCCATAAACACTTAATTCATTACAAGTCGAATTGTTGAAATTTTCCTAAAAATAAACCGAGATCCGTTGCGAATTTATTCACGGTGACGTACTTGGTGATTCATCTGATTCACGCTCACTCTGCTTGTGAATTGCCTCCATGTATGTTCAAATGCTCTGATCTGGGTCAACATTATTCACAGATTACCGTGCATCAGTGCATCCTCCCTGACTGGCTCCAAGCCATAAGACTCTTCAAAAATGATGATGTAATTTCTGTAATTACCTCTCCATTACACTGAGGGAAGATCTACATGTTTTATTCTGCCTTTATAAAAATATGTTTAAATGGTCACTTCATTGAACAATGACCAACCATCTGCTTAAGAAAAAGAAAAATTCTTGAATGCTTGTGTGTGTAGTGGCTTAAAATAACAGAATTTCTTCATTTGTAGCTTCTGACAGTTGGCACCCAGAATTTATTGAGATTATTTCTAAATGTTTCTCTCAACTCAGCATCCTTTTCAGTATGACACCAATTTTTTTTCTCTTACATATTTTTAAATTATGAAATGCACCAAATTCAAAACACAAAATGGCACAAGGGGTAGTTTCCTTTCAGTCATAGGGAAGCTTCAATGATGGTTAAAATGTCTTTTTACCAGCATGACTGATGATGTCATCAGTCTGAGAATACCAGAAGCGATGCATTTAAACAAAAATACTTCAACAAAGTGAAATTGCCATAGTATTATCGCTTTCATATATCATGGGTTGATTTCTGGCTTGTAATTACCTGTGTAGCAACCAGTATGAACTGTATCTATTATCTGCCCAGTCTTTAATCTAAAGGAAGACTTTAATGAAAATCAGCACCAAGGAACCAAGACTGAGTCATTGGTGTACATTTTGCGTATACCTTACAGCAAAATGCTGTAATGTTTTTAAAAATGCAGTACAACTTTTACAAAGAGAGTAAAGGTTACAACATGTGTCCTTCAGCTACACTAAAATATCGCATTAGCATTAGATGCTGAATTGAGCACAACTAATGGCTTTCAATATATTGCACAGTTTTCTAAAACAAACAAAAACATTTTGTTACTATGACAGTTAAGAGACTGAGAACTTGTGTGTATGAGTGCTATTTACGGACTGTTAACAGAGAAATAGGAAGTCAAAATATTATGACTTCTTTTCGTGAAGTCATAATATGTGGCACTTGTGTAATTAAAAGTGAAGAAGCATTACATACTTAAAAACTAAATGTGAGTGTAAAGTGAAATATGGGGGGAGGGGGGTGTTTAAATACATGTCCAAACATTTTTAGGGACGGTCAACCAGTAGTACAAGACAAAATGCAAGAGTTCTGCATTTTATAGTTCTGCTCAGAATCCTTTCAAGGTTCTCTGTTGTGGTGCCTTTCGCCATCGCTTCTTGCGTCGCCTCCTGGTGGAAGCATCAAAGCAGGTGACCATCATGATGCTGGCCTTACAGAGGCTGACCCTGTTCCCCAAACGAGTTGTCACCTCCTCAAGTGCCTCCAAATGCTCCAGGGGGTCCACCTCGAACGTCTGCCATACGTCGACTGAGGAAAGATAACAATGTACGGCTGAAGTTCAATGTATTTTTATTTTTTGTGTATGTCTATGAACTTGACTGCATATTGGATTTAATTGTTATGAGTCCTATGTATTTAATAAGAGGAGGATGTTCCCTGAGGGCAACACAGTAAATTGAAGCTTTTTTGTTGTTTTTTTAGATATTTCCTTCCTCCCCTAGTTTGAATATACTGCTCAAGGAATACTTTGGAAAACTAAAGAATGTTGTCGTACTCAATTTGTCTTTTTGCAGTTGTGAAATCTCTTTGGGATTATCTTCTCTTTTCAGCAAATGAAAAAAAAAGGGTTATACAGTATGCTATCTTGAGTGTGACTTTTTTCCCACTCAATTAAAGAGAATATATCAATATGCTAATCAGCGTTGCCATTGCCAACATTTCTACCCACAAGCAACAGACACTGGCTTTATCTGCTCTAAATGTTGGCTTATTCCCCCATAACTCAACAAAAAGAAAGAAGTGGAAACTAAATTACACAAGCTCACGTGCAAGTGGAAGTAACAGAATTCTAGAGTATTCACTTTATGTGGTATAACAGAAGCATCACAACACATTTCTAGCTCAGGCAGCAAGCCATTGGCTTCAAGCTGGTATGGTCACAATGTCCTGGCTCATTATGATGCTAGCCTGGCTTGCTAAGTACTCTCTGGTTGTGCACTACAATCTCAACTCAAATGACTATCCACTTAGTTTTAAGCACCAATTACTGACACACAATCATGAAGGGTGCTTCATTCAGCTGCAAACTTTGCAATCTCACAATATCTTGATCAAGCTTTTGCTGCCTTTGAGCTCACCAGCCAAGGAGCGTGTCCGAACCAGCTCTTGAGTCAACCTGAACGGTCCTGTCTAGTTGATGTTGTTGTTCTTTTTGCCCTCATGCTCGACTCTGAGCAAATCTAAGTGTGTTCGCGTCTCAACAACTCCAAGCGTCTTTGGCTCATTCTGACCTAACTTTTCACTCTACCTTTTTTTCTCTCCCCTTTTCTCTTCAGAGCTCGCATGTTTCTTTGGTGCCTTTCAGCGTATGGAAATTACCAATAGGATTCTGCCTAACACTGCAAGTTATTGAAAGTGGTTCCAGATAATCGTCTATGAAAAATGTCTGGAGAATGTAAGCATAAATCCTGAACTGCAGCATTCATGGCTATTACTGCAAGACTTTTTCAAATTAAAACTGATGACTTAATTTTTACCTGTGAGACACTGCTTTCACATTAGAGGAACAAATCTGCTCTGTACCAAGTAGTACAGGTGTACAAAATAAGAACGGTTGGTTTTTATTTTTGTGATTCCAAGCTGAACTTTCTCCAACAGGCTGTTTAATTTCTGCCCTTCCAGCTTGAAATCCACACAGTGCCGTTTCACCCTGAGCTCACACTGTCTTAGCTTCTTCTCATCTCCCGCTCATCAATGACTATAATGCCGAGGCTTTTTACTGGCAGCTTCTCAGATATATCTTAAATGCAAGTCGAGAGCTGGAAAAATAACAACTTCCTAGTAATCTCTTTTGTTGTCTATCTGTTGGTGCTGTACCAATTAATTACGAGTTCTCTCATTCATTCTCTATAGAAAGAAAAAAAAATGTATTTAATGTATGGAATATATCAGAGAACTACAAAAATCCAGGAGCCATTGATAGGCCCAATACCACGTCAAACAAATTATTATTAGTTTTACTTTTCGGATTCGGACTTCAACTAATTATTTCCTAATTATCAAGAAAATTATCCCAAGATTATCAAAACATCGATCAGATCATATACAGAGTCTGGGTAAATAGGTCAGCTAGTATGTGGCGACATGCACTGGGCAAGATTAGCATATTCATAGCTTCCCATTTTTTGAATAAGGGAAAGGTATGGAAATATATATGCAAAAACCTCCAAATGTTTAATAATGATAAATAGGAGATTAATAACTGCTTGATATTTAAATATTTAGGGTTCAGAAACAGTTTGAATTAACAAACAATATTAGTCTTGAATGCTATTGGGACTGTTTGAGATGATGTAAGTAAATTATTTCAGCAAAGTCCAGAAAAATATTACTGACACTCTTGGTTCCACTTTTCGGGCTCCAGCATGAGGTTGTGTTTGGACTGCTCCAGCTCTCTCCTCAGGTTGTTGTATTTGACTCGGACCTCTGAGATCCTCTGCTGACGTTGTTCTAAAAACTTCAGCTTGGCGCTGAAGTATGTGGGACCCTGAAATCACATATGCCCATACACATTTTACAATTCTTTTATTTATTCTTAATACATGCTAATCAACTGTAAATAAAAGCTCTCATTAAAAAAACGTAATGTTTTAATAGGGGCTTTTATCCCAATTAAACTTCTATTTTGTTGAGCATGGGCTACAATAAGGTTGTTTAAATCCTCACCATGGTCAAATAATGAATAGGCGGTTTTAGTAGTTGGATATCAGACAGCACCTTCTTGCTCTTTCTTAACATACATAAACAATCACTGGTGGAAACAATGTAAACTAAAATAAAAAAAGGCTTCTGGGCAACTTTGTAGAATTACTTGTTGATTTCTCCAACCTGCAACAATGCATATTGTTGTACACAAAAAAAGTGTGTATAATCAAATTTTAAAAATACTAATAAAAATAAAAATAAAAATAATATATATATATATATATATATATATATATATATAATATGAGGCAGGACGTGTAATATGACGTGCAACAGCTATTACAAAGCAAGGAGTATATTCTTTTTTGTTGTAATTAAACTAAAATGTATTTTGTTGCTAGTGTTTTCCAGTGTGCGTCTTTGTTCTTGGCAGCAGTGCATTGACCTAGTTTCCCCCCATGTGGTCATTAAAATTGTATCAAAGTTGCCGTGTCTGAGACTGGTGGAGGCAGAGCAAAGTCTCAGGAGGCCAGAGCTGTCGCCTTGGGAACATTGCATCACCATATGTACCATATTTTCGCACTCAAGTATATTTCAGCTAGGCGGAGTCTCATTTTAGCTGCAATTATTCAAGATAAGTAAACAAGTTAATGAAACATGCTCTTATTCTGCAACATGCAGTTTTAATTGAACAAACAACCTCAGGCTTTGTGACATAAAGTCTCAGTTATTTTTAACATGGTGGAGCAGTGCTCATTGTACAGTATATGATGGAGATGTAATATGAGTTTGTTGACTGTTTCACCCCAACTATTTTGTGTTCTCATTCACAAGTTACTTTATTGACTTCAGATACTGGATATGCTTAACTTTCGAGCTGATTAACAGGCCTAATCATCCTGTAAGTTGGTCCACATGCCGTTAGCTACTTTGCTCCATTTTTTGTAATCAGCACCTAAAACCCATTGTGTTGAGTGGCTTAAAATGTGGCATTTACTCAGATTGTGTGTTTTACCCTTTTCCTATGAAAACAAAGGAGTTTTGTTAAGGTTATTTTTGTATGGATTTAATGAAACTGTGTATTTTTCTAACAGAACATGAGGAATAGGATCCTTTTTTTCTGTCTGCATTTTCCCGCTGGTTGCCTCTGGGTTGAAAAGGTTGAAGGGTTTCTTATTTTATGTGGTTATCCTTTCACCTCCAAAACCAAAAATCAAAATAAACCCAGCACCTGTTTGCCAGCACCTGCTCTTTTCTGCATCCTTTGCACATTGTCGATTTCATAGACCTTGATCTCATACGCCTCTGGAATTCCCCGATCCATCCAACGAGACCGCAGGCCGCCGGCTGGGCGCTTCAAAGACGGGGCTGTATCATGGGAAAGACGCCGCGGGTGCGTACCTGAGAGAGAGTAAAAAATACACTGACATGCTGGCACCATCCCTTCCCCTTTTCAAATGGATAACTAGCTTATCTTGCGGTTTTGCATTCATTTGACTCTTTTTGACTGGGAAGTCAGCAAAAACTGCCTTGGCAATTTCCACCAGCTACCAACCACAAAAGCTGTAGCGTTTGCTGGTGTATTTATGAGCTGCTACATTAATGTAAAAGCATTGCAGACTTGCGTCCTTAAGTGGCCTTCAATGCCCAGTGCATGTCTGACTAAGTAAACAGTTTGCCTGAGGGCTATAGAAGTCTGAAAGGCTTCCATATCATTTCTAAGACTGAAGCCTTGATTTCTTGTACTCTTTGGTCCATTTAAATATGAGATGAAAGCTCATTTTTTGCATATATTTCATAAATAAAAGGAAAGGCTCAATTAGCAGTTTCCTACCTATACTTTCTCAGTGTATAATTCCATGAGCTGGCATGGTTTGTAAATGTACACCCGCTTTTAAAAGCTCTGAATCAGCCAATCACATCAGATTTCCTGTATTTATTCTTCCATTAGTGAGTTCCATCACTAGGTTCATTCATTAATGATGTCCTACACAATAAGACTTTTAAAGCTAGTGGGAAGGCTAGCTTTGATTGCATGCCACAGCTGTGGGTAATCTCTAATTAATGCCACATTAATATATCATGTGTTGAGACTACGAACCAAAAAGAGTCAAGATGGATATATCATTTATGCAAGAATGCTTTTATTTTGTCTGGAATTTGATTTACACCACATGGAGCTATCCAAACTAGATGTGGTGTCATGATATTTAATTGCTTTATGTTTGTTTGTCTGATTTTCTAGTCAGATTTAATCAAAATGTTAAATAGGCATTGGTTTCAAGTAAATGCAACGGTAGCATGATGTTGCACATTTCAAAGTCTTTACTGGGAATAGCTTTATACCATAGGTTTTTTTTTTAATTGAACATATGGCTAACAAAACCAAGGTATGAGAATGAAAACACTCATTTTTGTATTTTATTGTTGTCATTGTTTATCCAGATAATTACCCATTTTGGGTACTTTTACAGCAATTCATTTATTTGATAGCATTGAACAGCGGTATTATTCAAATTCAAATCAATCATTAATCAAAATAATAAAAAATCATCCTGAAGCCAAAGTATCAAAGTATCAAAGGATTTTGTAATGTCCACGAATTTCGGATTAGACGTCGTAATCATTCCTTAAGTAATCATTATCTATGTCAGTTCATAAAAGCCCACATTGATCCGAGTTTTTTTACCTGTGTTGCCTCGCCTCCGAGATGATCGGCTGCTGCGAGCCACACTGAGTAGTGAGCCGCTCCTGTCACTTAGTGATTCTCTGTTGGAAGTGGCCTCACTGTCCCTTACCATGCTGTCATAGCCACTGCTCACCAAACTGTTCCTGTTAGAGAAATGTAGGGATGTCTTCCCCATGGCCGGTGGTAGATCTCCGCTCAGCACACTGGTGGTGTCACTAGCATGCCCACTCTGGTGATCTGGCATGCGTGGAGCAGTTACATGGCTGTACGGGGATGGAAGTGTGGTCAGTTGATCCAGTCCTGCCATGGTAGGACTACAGGCCTTTTCCTTAGAGATTTCTGAGATTCGGCCATTGACAAATCCCTGAATGGCAGATTTTGTAGATGAACACGTGGAGCTTTGGCTTGGAGTCCGACTAATTGAGTGATGAGATTGTGGAGGGGAAGAGGAAAAGAAGGAAGATGTCCGCTCAAAGTTAACTGTTTTGCTGTCTGGAGAGAGACTGGCACTACGGTTGACAGGGTGCTGCAGGTTTTTGTGGGAAGGACCCATGTTCTTGATGCTCGGGGCAGACAGTCGACGAATTTTGGGACTAACCATCTTAAGTTTTCCCACAGCAGATAGCTTGGAATGGGTGTGTTTAGCAGTCTGAGGTGCAAGGTTTTCAGAGTGGAAATAGTGGTGACTTTGGTCAGATCGGGGATTTTTCTTGGGACTCCTACTAGCCCTTGGAAAAGTAGCATCTCCCTCATAACCTCCTTTAGAACCTACCTTATAACCTCTCCTAGAACTTTCCCTTGAACTTCCCCTGGAGCTCGTAGAAATGTTGCTGCTACCTCTCTCAAGGGTTGGGAAGCCTCTTGGGCTTCTCCCAAGCGAATTAGTTCTTGCTGCCAGCTGCTCCAGTTTGGTACTGAAAAGCCTGCTACTATCCTCAGCAGGTGATTTAAGCCTGCTACTTGTTTTGTCAATTTTCCTCGTTAGGCTTGAGGTGTCAAAGACAGTTCCGTCTCCATTTCTAAGTGTGCCACATAAATCCTGTTTGAATTCTCTTCCACTTTTTTCTGGAGATGAGACAAGGAGGCTGTAATTTTTAGAAGAGTGCTGTCTGCCCTGCCCCCTCTGCAGAGTTCCCCCTGGGCTACATGGAGTGGATGATGTCACCCCCCTTGAGTGGTTGTCCTGGAACCTGGCATTCTGCCAAGCTTGAGGCAGACTGCCTGCTATAGAGATATCAAGGATGGTTTCTTGGCAACCAGGTATAACGCCGGTTCTCTTGGGAACATTTCCACTATGTCTACTTGCAATATTTTCCCCCACTGAGACTTTTCCATTGTTGGTGGAATAAACATGCTCATGGTCTCTAAGGGGAAGTTTGTCTGTATTTTGGGGTCTCTCTTCAAAAATACTATCTTCTAAAACTACTTGGTCTGAGGAACTCTGGCAACAAGGTGGACAGCATGCCTTGTCAGACTTTTTATGGGTTTTATGTTCCTCAGAGGTAAATGTCCCTGTTCTCTTTTCAAGAATTATGTTGCCCTCTGAATATTTGACATTACTTATTTTGAGCTCAGATCCTGTGTTTACTCCTTCAGGTGTTTCTTGAGAGTTTTCTTTTACTTTTGTACAATCTAAATCACACTCCACATCCGTATCAATCAACATGGGATTTATAAATGATGGTAAGATGTATTTTTCTCTTCTTGATATTGGATACTGATGCATTTCATTGTTTGTTGTTTTTGCAACAGGGGTACCTGCAACTGCAGAGTCATCACTGACATTACTGATAATCCTGATTGGTTGAGAACTGTTTAAGCTTTGATCCTGTGCTTGTGATTGAACGGGATCTCTGATACAAATTATGTTCCCACCTGCATTCCCTCTGTCATACGCTCCACTAATGGTCACCTCCTCTACCATAGAAAAGACAAGTTCATCTTGACCCTTTAGATCCAGTGGCTGTTGAACAGTCACTGTGATAGTGGCTTTCATTTCCTTATTGTCCTCTGAGGTGCGATTAGACAACATATCGCCAAATATGACACTTTTAGCTAAGGAGTGTGAAGAGGAGCAGGACGAGGAAGGAGATATCGGGGAACTCTTGCCAATTGGTGATGCCCTTTTATCTGGTTTGAACCAAGTTTCATGCCCTTCCTGTTTTCCTTGTGGGTGAAGTGCAGGGGAACTGGTAGCGGCCATATTCCGAGCATTTGTATCAAAGCCTTTGGAGGATAACTCATCACCTAATTTCGCAGGTGTTGTGTTGGGAAGAGCAGAACGGAGGGTCATGTTACGGCCCAGAGTTTGATTCAACAGTTCCTCACTTGAACTGGTTGTCCCACACTCCTCACAGTCATAGAGACCAGAATCCTCTCTCTGAAAACTGTCCCCAGGGATAGCCCCATCTGTTTGCTTTCCTCCGGGAGCTGCCTGATTACAACCTATTCCTGGGTTCAACACGGTTTGTGGTGCATCTGAGGCTTCTTTTTTGAGATGCGGCTTGGTTAAAATATTGTCAAGTGAAGCCCCTTTTAAAGAAGATTTTAGCACATCCATTGTCAACTCACTTCCATCGATACAACCTAGACGTTCCTGAAGCTCAGCAAACGTATCACATTTAAGACAATCCCTTTCAGGCTGTTTCTTTTCTACTTTCAGAACTTCAGTATCCCCTTGCAGAGCTTCCCCTGGCTTCTTTGCTCCATGCAGCTGAGGAATTCTCAGAAGTTCTTGCAAAAGAGCAGTAAACTCTGGGTCTTCCAAGTCAGACTTGTTAGGATGCAAAGAGGGTATGATAGGCACAAACTCTGGTTGTGCCAACACTGGGGCTGCTTTGGAATGGAATCCATCTGAGTCTATTTGGATGACAGTGTCACAAGACTGGTCACTACTGGAGCGATGCAGTTCACCACGCAGACGGAAAGGATGACTATCGACGTCTACTTCATCAGTGGAGTGGAACGCTCTCAAAGACAAAGACTGTGTCCCTTTCTTTCCTTTGGTCAAGCTCCTCCCACTAGGGGAACATGATGTAGATTGCTGTTGGTAACAGAAAAATATAGCTGTTAGAATTGAGTCTGAGAGAAGTCATAATTATGCACATTCCTATGTGAAATATATTTTAAGACCACTTTAAGACATGTTACATACTAATACAGAGTGTGCCTTAAGAAAAACAAGGACGATTCATGTGCAGTAGAGCATTATTTTAAAAAATGCTAAAGTAAAGGGTATAAGTTATGTTGTTTATTTCTGAGAACACTAATTTGCTTATATATACGGCACAGGGTAATAAAACACTATGCTAAAGATTTTCCATGGTTTCATCTTTGACATGATGTAATTTTGGTAACTATCAATGACAATTCTGTTTGTATATTGGGTCACAACAGCCGGTAAAACTCTGTTTGTTTGAGTCCCCACCTAAATACAAAGTCCACATAGCTTTGATAAGATTGAGATCAGGATTTTGAAAAGGCTCAAAGAAAAGCTTCTAATAAGCCTCAGCCATGCTTTATTCATTCCAAACCCACATCTCATGTGTGTTTTAAGTCATCAAAAATGTACTCAGTCTGTGCCCATTCACCTGACAGCATAATATTCCCCAGGCAATATTATCTTCCACTTTGGAAGATAATAGTGTGTAGCCAAATGCTCTGCACAGATGTCTATAAGTAACTTAAGAGGTCAGATGAGGTTCATTTTTATTTGACAATTTCTGACATGTATAAACAGAAATAAAAAAACAGAATATGTGAATGAAAGATTGCCCTATGAAAATGTGACTGTTCATTTACTGTTACACGTCACTATTTTGTAAACAAATAGAAAAAGCTGTACGTTTTTAGCATATGTGCAGATATGCCCTCTTGATTTTGCTGTGTCTACTCATGTAGAACTGATTTAATCTGTAACTGCATTACCTGGAAATGTAAGGCCAATTTTGAAAAGTTTGTTTACATATCATTGCAGTTGGATCGACAGGTTTACATTTTATTTATTCCTGTTTGGACTATCACAATAACTCTTTTTTGTCTTATAAACATGCACAGTAACAATGATATTCTTTGACAGTTCATTTTACAAATGTTATTTCTGTTGATTCATTAAATCTTTTTTTTTTATCTTATGCTCACAAAGAAAAGGCAGTCAGTAACAAGTGTTTACAATTGTTTGCAGAACTTTATTGTCAATAACTGTACCTTTGTTCTCTTCTGTGTCCTGCGAATGCGGGATGCCAGCTGAATGGTAGAGAAGGTCTCTTGAAGGTGTGTCAGAGAATCAGCAACCTGGGCAAGTACAGTAATGTGGCAGTTTGCACGAGTCATAGACTCATGAAGGAGCATGGCCAGCTTACTGCCCCTGTGCAGAAAAAGGTCACATTTAGAAACATGAATACGAATATGCGTCATAATAAATGAATTTCCATGTTTTATTGTACATTAATTTTCACTGTAGGTTTTTTTAACTTTGAAATCATTTAACCACAGGCAAAAATATGTGCTCAAAATTAAGACTTAATATAAACTAATATGAACATATTAACACATCTAACTTTACATGTTCATAAGATTCACACATTAACACTTTTGAGGTGCATTCTTACTTGCTAGGGATGTGTTTATTTCCACTGAGAAGAGACACCACAATGGGCCCCAGTTCCGAATGTGGAGGTTTATTCTTTATCATACCCCTCATTCCACTACATACATCTATCATGGTCAGCTTAGTGGTGCCCCGTGAGCCTAGGGATGGAAATAGAGGAAATGATTAATACATAAATCTTTTTGTGTTCTACAAATTCACAAAAAAAAAAACATAAATTAAAAGACACATGCAACTGAAATGTTAAGTGTTTTGAAAAGTAGGGCACAAATAATGGGATTAAAAATTGTGAGGGGCTTTAAATCAACCATATATGATCATTAAAATACACTATATTTCCAGTGGTCAATCCATGAAAATGGCTTTGAATTATTCAAAACTTTGGAATGTAATGTTTATATAATTTCAGCGCTTTAGTCATGCCCTTTGTCTGAACTGGGCCATTTAAGCTTCGGTCTCATCATGGCTTACTTCAAGGCCCACTTTTTTTTTACTAGCCGACTAATTATCCTCGTGGCATTTATCACTAAATTGTGACACTAACATAATGCTATAACCATTTAATCAAATCACTGAGGAAGAAAATACTCTGCTACAGTTTTAAACTCACTAACTAAATTTTACTATACAGCAAGCATGGCACTCAAAATTATTTGAGTGCATAAGAAGTACATAATGCATAGGCATTATAATTTTTAGAGGCTTTGACATATTTTTAACATAACTATTATTTCTTAGACTTTGATGGGTTGTATGGATGTCTGCACATTCTGTAACTCTTCCTGTTTGCCAAATTTGGAATCTGATCCTGTAGTACAGAGAAGTACAGGATCAGATTGAGTTTTATCACATTAGACAATGGATCAGGTATGACGATATCAATGTTCCCTCCACCAGCATTCCCTGTTTCGAGAACATAAGTTGTAAACTGAAGTAAAATTAATCTAATTAAATTGATGTTAATAATTTGATTATGTGAACAATTCAAGTCAGTGATATACTGTAGAAATTATGTTGTTTCAGTCTAAATCTACAAGTTATTTTTCACTTTTTCATGGCTTTCATTATTTGCATGGAAATACAATTGTTCTTATTTTCTCCACATTTAAAAGGACAACGATTATATGATGATTCTGTCGACCATCCTTCCAAATGAACTGAGAGACAGTATCAACCAATTATGTTTTCCCTGACATTTATAAGAATCTTTCTCTTCACATACTATATATAAGCCCCTATTGTCACACCGCAATTATATAGATTTTTTAAAACAGTAAAAGATTGCATGTTCTCTTTGATTTATCGCAAAACGTTTATAAATTAATATTAACCTTTTCCAATGGTACTGCTTTCTGTTCGTGGAGGCTGGACATAAAGAGTGAAGAACATTATGGAGCTGTGGCACAGGTATGTGATAAAGTCAGCGTGTCGGCGAGCTGCGATGGCCGCGTCCAGCAGTGAAGCAGCTCGCTCAGCCGTGGGGGCCTTCACCCGGTTGTGGTTACGAAGCTGGAAGAACATGAGAAAATGTAACACATTCATCAGTGGACTGACTTCCTTCATTTTTCAGTAACTCTGCCATTTGATTTGTAACTTTTAAATCTGACAGTAGAATATTTTCTCACATTATCTCATTATTATTTTATTATTTCTCACATTGTCTATCCATAGAGATGACAAAAAAAAACAGAATTGCTATTTTTTCTATTTTTCTATTTTTTCTTAAAGACATATTCCATGCATATAACAGCTCCCCTCAGTTATTTGGTTTTAATTTGACTGAGGAAATAAGCCGATTGGCAAACCCACACAAATGACTTGCTGGCTTGCAGTTAAAAAATCAGCAGTAAAAAGGGAGGAGAGAAGTGTGCGATCATAATGTAATAAGATGTAATCTTTGATGCCGTCTAATTGGTTTTACTCACTACCAGCATAATCTTCTGTAGCACAGTGTAGGACCATCATCCAAACTGTCTAACTAAATTAAATTAAACATTGTTTTTGTCTAATCGAGAGGGCAAAGTTTGAATATAGAGAACGCAAACATGAAGTTTAATATAATAGCTTATCTATTATTGCTTATGCACTGTACCTATTGGGCAGTTAGTTTTCACCTTTGAAAAATTCAACCTTAATATATATGTTCTTTAATCATGTATTGCCAACATGGCTCAGACATAACATTTAATATATTTTGTGTAAAAAGTCTTCTCTGTAGACTACATTTGGACAGAGGTTGATTGGACTGTTCATAACTATTTCGAGTGTTCTTACGGGTCACTCAACCATTTTGTTAAGACTACATATCAATCCAATTTTTTCCCAACCAAACACATCCCTCTATATACCTGTATCCCATAGACCGGATCCTCTTGGACTCTGACGTGGGCTTTTGGGCTGTCTTGGGCGCTGCCTGATGAGGGAACCACTTCCCCCAGAAGGTCCCTCAGCGTGTCCTCATCCCCGCAGCACAACTCGATGGCGGACACCGATACTGTCAGATCAGTCCAGGTCTTCTCCCTGCGTCGCTCGATGGCACTGTACAGCCAGGAAATGGCACAGGGAATCATTCCAAGCTTCTGTATGTTCTCACCACTCCCAACCATGCTGGACCAGGATCCTAAGGAAAGACAGCAGAGCACACAGAAGTGCAAGATGGACACAGTCAAACGATTTGGGAGTCACAATCAGTAACCAAAAAAAATGCAGTTTATTTAGAACACACAAAACATGTATTAAGAAAACAACAATGGAACAAACGGGTGACATTCTTTGTTTCTGTCTCCTTGTGCACTTTTGCCCCACATTCGTTTTGAGTTATGGGTCTGTTTTACCTTCTCTGGCCTTATCCAAAGTCTAATTGAATGAGGATAAGAGAATTGGTTTACTCCAATTAAAGGCGGAGCTGCCCGCCGTTATTCAGAGGGAATGGTATTCTATAGACGAGATTGATATCCCCATGGCTGCAGGCCACATGTAGCCTGTATCGGCCACCTAATTGAATCAGATTTACGGAGAGTGGCGTCATGTGAAAAAGCAGCTACAAGGAGACCCTGTCCTTATCGTGTGTGCGTGTGCTTTTGTGAGTGCGGGTCCGCGCCACAAATCTATTAAACCCCTTTACCGGCACTAAGTGCTGGGCCCCATTTCTCTAATAGCAACATATTAGAGTTCACTTTTGTTACAGTCGACCTCTTGGCTCAGAGGAAAATTAATGTGTGTTTTTTTTCCAGACAGCCTGCTGAAACCTCAAGCAAAAGGGAAGCTTTTAAAACAATATCTATGCTGTGAAATTAATGGACAGGCTTTTTATTTACATACAGGTAAAAGATGAATGACAAAGCTGAGTGGGCTGAAATGGCACCGCTTGATGGATATCTTAACCGTCAGTTTAAGATATATATCAACACTGAGATAAGGGAGTGAATCATAGCAAAAGCAGGACAGAGAAGAGTGGGAGAAAGGGGGATCTATAAGTATAGCTAATAGCGTACCACTCTCATATTGCAAATTTAACCTGTGGCCCCACATTGTGAATAATGACTCACCCACATCAGTACATCCCAAACCCAGAACGCATCCATCGCTGCCGCTCAACACACACCGGATTACATCAGACAAGACGCCTGCGCCCACCTCAGCCTAGTCAGAAAGACAAAAAAAGACAGCCAGCATCTTGTGATTCATCGGTGCATCGAAAACGATCTTCTCACGGAAAAACCAGAACAAGGAGAGCAATGATTCTGATTGTGTAAAGGTACTGAGAGCAGAGCTTGGGGAAAGTTCAATCTAACTAATGGCCTGAGTAAGTGTGGTGTCAGGTTTCATGCCATCAGACAGAGCACAGTGGAGAGAGACAATAGGCAGTGGATATGCAGTGGCTGTACTACTCCAATCGCACACCATCAAGACCGCGCATGGCATTTTAATTTCACCAGCTCAATTTCAAGAGCACAAATAGACACATTTTGAAACTCTCTTTAAACATTTTCGAATATCTTTATCCAAACCTGGCTTGAATCTTGAGAAAAGGTTGCATCAAAATTGAAGGTCTTCAGGGGACTTTTGTTTCCTCCCCTTCCCAGTGTCATTGTGGTGTATGTTGGATTTTTGCTGATTGGATCCAGCACGGTGACTCTTTTTTTGGATGAGTCAATCCGGAGAACGGGCGGCTGTCCTTGGCCGTCTGAGAGCATTCGGCTCACCCTCAGCATTACTTGCACCTGTGCAAAAAAGGAAATGAGAAATAATTCCACCTTGGTATAAGCTTTCCTGACGACAGTTAAACTTGGTTTTGTTTTGTTGCTGTGCAGTATTCTGGCAAAATCTGGATCTTACCCTTCACGGTAATGTTATTTAGACACACCACCACTTACCCCATGGTAACTGGGAAATGCACCTAAACAATTAACCTGACTCACTGGTAACCTTAGTAACCTCTACAGGCGTCTGCAGTATGATTTTCAACAAGCTGAACTCTTAATGGACCTATTCTTTTAAGGATCTGCCAGCTTCTGTAACAAGACAGCTTTGCTATCAGAATTTCTTTGTCCATAACAACATGGGTCACAGCTATTTATATATAATAATGGGGACCCCCAAATAAATCTTTAAAGTCACCTATCATCAACAAGACCAAATTGCTTTTAGAATCTTACCTCCACATCATCCCTTACTCATAATTTTGCCACCCTTGCATATTACCTGCGTTGAAAAACATGGGAGCAGCCAGATCGGCCATAACAACACCATAGTGCTAATGATTGATTCGGAGTTGAGTTCGGTAATAGTTTTACAAGAACCCTTTTCAACTCCTCTCATAAACCTAGCCCCATCAGTTATTGAGGCGTTTTGCTTTTACTGAGCTGCAATTGATTTGCAACTCCAACTATGGCAGGGTGACTTAAGCTTTTAAATAAAACACCAAAAAGCAAAAGAAAACTTGGGGGGGGGGGGGGAAGTTTCAAAGTAGCAAGCTTTGCGAACCACAGTCTAACAGAAACCCTGCAACACGACGTGGAGCCAGCAAACAACACAGTCATCCATGGATTTTGGTGGTTGAAGACCTTTTGTTTAGTAAAACAAATGTATTCATACTGACTTAAACTTCTGTCAAAAAGCAAGCTAAATTAGAAACAGGCAACTTGTGCTCTAAACCCCTGCTGCTCAGTGGAAGGCTGACATGCTATTTTTCCACAGCATGGGCTGTGAGATACCTTTGTTGTAAAAGTGAAAACCTCAGCAGTACAAGATGCTGGACGTCAAAAAGAATTAGTGCTGAGAACTGGATTGGCGAGCTGAAGATAGTGTACTCTGTTGTTGCAAAGATTCACATCCCAATCAAATCTTAATGAGCTGACAGCAGAAGTAGGAACAGTATTTAGTTGAAACAAAACAGCTCGAGCACCCAGTAGATAAGAGGATTTAGTCAGTGCAACAGATATTCTTGGCAGTGCAACACATAAAAAACACATAATTGGACATTGAATTCTTAATGTGATTTGACACATTTGGAGATTTAAAGATTTGAAGGTGATAAATCAAGTAAAACAGCCATTTATCATGCTAATATTCAAGGGGCGCAAAGCTGTGTGTAAAACAGAAAAGATTATAAGGAAAATCCATAATACTGGTTATAGAGAACACACGAATCCTCTATTCTTAAGAACAAAAAGGAGGTGGTGAAGCAATCATGAGCAAGTTAAAGCAGTGACACAAACACATATAGTAATATTCACAACGTACAAGGAAGAAGAAAGGTGGACAAACACTAGTGTTCTCACATACTGTCTATTCACTTGTTGATTTATTTGATCTATACTCACAGACATGAATTATTGTCGTATTCATGTCCATGAGGGGTTGTTTTAAAGAGAACAATTTATTATTAATTAATATGATTAATCACTAAGTGGAGATAGGGTAGGATTAAATAAGCTTATGCGTCTCCCTACTCCTTTTTGAACATGTTATACTAATTGTGGTTAAACTGTTTTGTTTTTACTGTTTTCGTTTGTTCTTTTGTTTTGTTTTTGTTCTTTTTGTATCATCGCATGTACGAAATAAGGCCCGTGTTCATTCATTTGTTCATTCACTCATTCATTCATACAAGAAATGTCAACGATACAGTTGGACAGACAAATAAGAGCCTTGCACCTACAAGGTCATTCCCAAAGCACATGCCACCTTAAATGGATGGATTTTGCACTTCACTTTGATGAAGCCGCACCCAAAATGGCTTCCACAGAGCGGTGGGTTTCAAAAAGCTATTTTAAAGAGTCAAAGGACAATAAGGTATCCAATATTTAAAAAAACTGGAATAGAATTCCTTGCTAAAAATGGTCTAATGGAGTGATGAGAAGCCTGATTCATTCTAAAATAAACATTGTCTTTCAAACTAATTATTTTAATGTAAAGACTCTTATTGCCTTCAGTACTGCATTTTCATATATTTCCACATATTTGTGCATACATCTGCAAATTGCTACACCTTTGTTTAGTTTTACTAGTTATTTATTAAGAAATGAGGGATGCCTAAAAACTTTTGCTTTGCATGCCAAGAAAATCTATCCTCAAGTTTATCAAAACCATTTTAAAGCTTTTCCCATAAAACACACAGTGTTTGTGACTGCTTCTTAGCTGTTTGCATTCAACGGCATGTCGTAGGGTTGTATGCAGGAGCTAAAAGTATACTGACTCTGTGTTGTTAATTTAATTCTCTGGCAGTGTGATTAAATTCATCTGCCGAAATCCCTTTTTCTCTCTCGTCTCCACAGCAATTTGAAAGAAAAGCTAACCAAAAAAGAACAAGAACAAGAGTAGTGAAGAGGATCGTGCTCTCATCCCAGCAGGGACCACGCCGTGATATATTTACAAATTCAGAATATTACCCTAGTATGACTGAAAGCAGACCTGCGCACCCTAACAAACAGATGAACACAGCTGTCTTGATATTGTACAGGACTGCATTACACCACCATGACATCATCCTTTATTGACTGAATTTAAAAACCTGACTGCCATATTCCATCGGCCAAATTATGTCTCCACGCATGTGATGGATTTCTTTCTGCTCCTGTCCATATATAAGTTCAATACTCTTTACAAGAACCAGGTCCTTAACTCTGTTGAACACGTGTCAAACTGTATTTATGGGTTAAATTATTCAAAAGAGCCATTTACAGGCAGAGAAAAATTATGTGCCGTTCACACACGGAAATACACAAAGCTGAGTGCCTGTGCAGGTGTGGCTGGGGATGGGGGTCTGTCTGAGTCCTCATCTGTAACTCGAGACTAAACCCAAGAGTCCATCTATGAGACAATGGGAGGGCCAGCAGCCGTATTGATCTCCTCAGTTACTCTCCCTGAGGGGGTGAGGAGAAAGCAGACGAGGAACAAGATGGAGACATTAGCACCACTATACAGTGCATCACAAAGACAGAGTGATATAGGATATCTTTTAAATTGACTGAGATCTCTTTAGCCTGAAACAAGGGTTAAAAAAAAAACACTTCCAATGTGGTGTTTGTGGCAAAGGATGGCAGTTTGTTCTATCAAATGTGGAATCCCAGTCAAGACTTATACTATGTATTCATGCAAAGTTCTGGTCCATCATTAAGACAACTTGTATGGTTAGATATTCTGTGTAATTCTAGTTGTATTATACACAGTAAATAAAATATATGTATATATAAAGCCCACAATAGATAAAGCACATTGTGAAAACGCAACTGTACATGGTCAATGTCATTTTCAAATCTGAACCTTTAAACTTGACTACTTTACCATTAAATCTGCTTTTTTATGCTTTTTGATGTGCAAGAATTCTAAATCTACCTTGGCAACATCGGGCGAGTCTTTGGTGCGAACGGCAGCTTGGAGCAGGCAGGAGGGGACGGGCGGTGGGTTTTTCTGGATGATCTCCCTGAAGCAGGTGGAGAAATGGGAGGGAGCTGGATCAGAGGCCTGGCCCTTTTTCCGCAATGTCAGGTTGAGCCTCTCGGCCGCTCTGCGGGGAAACAGGGAGGAGGTATGAGTGGTTGGGGGAAGGATTTAGAGGCTTTGCTTCAGTGAAACTGACTGATAGGAAAAAATCACTCAACTAATAGAATGCAAAATACAAGTTAAAGTCCCAGAACTAACAATTTATTAATATATATGTCCACAGTTATATGTATATGTTATATATATATATATATATATATATATATATATATATATATATAT